TCTACGTGACTTTACCGAAAGAATCAAGAAGATGAATCCCTGCAGTCACGAAAGCTTTAAATCATAATTTTTAAAACCACTTGTGGCCAACATCTATTTTGTCACGTTGTCAAATCGATTGCACAATTAAATCGAATGACTCGCACGCGGCATTCAAACGAATTGCACGGAATTCGTATCACGTGCATCTGGCCCTTCGTGGTAATGAACTTGGCTTTCTTTCTTTCCTCCCCTCCCCACACCCACGAGGTCACGACACAGAGCACTGGACGCAAATTGTTCTCACGTCTTTTTTAATGATCTTCATGAACCACATTTTCCATGTAGGTTTTCGCAACCAATATAATTCGTAATAAAATGTTTATTTTTTTAGGTTAGATCGCGTAAATATAAATGTGTCGTTAACGACACATTTACGCGACCTAACCCCCTATAAAACCGCCTTTATTATTATTATGAATTGACCACATTCTCTCCCTGGGCCACGAGATGGCAGACGAGATAGTCGTCGCGTCTTCTTTAATGAACGTGCAGCTTTCACGCGCAACAAAGCCACTTCAATCACCATCTGCGATATTGTCACAATGTCACGTTAATAGCCCTGATACATTGCCATTCGCGTGACACTTTAATGTCCGTGTTCACAATATCAGACTCTGTCTCTCCGACAGACCTGTTCTTCACCTGAGGACGGCTGCTTGCGTTGTGGTCGAAACGTCGTGAGAATAATTGTATTTTTATTATTTGATTATTTCCCTTCTACGTGACTTTACCGAAAGAACCAAGAAGAATATCACTCTGCTTTAGCCGAGTTGAGCCCAGACTGTGCTCGAACGAGCGAGCGACCCACCAAAGCGACAATAAAAACAACTCAAGTTCAAGTTAATTAATTAGGTATAGCCCTGTGAGCCATTCGGCTCTTGAATCGGGTGCAACCGCAACAAACAAAAAACTAAAGCATGAACAAAAAACATCTCAAAGTGAATATGTGACTAAGTGCAAACAGAAAATCCGAGAAAAGAAAAAAATCACCGTACAACAACGCTGTGTGCAAAAATCCCAGTGGGATGCAAGTCAAACAACCAACAACAACCACGAGGCTTTGTGGGCAGCAGAGAGCGGTGCAGCTAAAGTCCACGACGTTCCTCCAGCGAATCACTCCCAGCTACCGACGACCAGCGTGGTGAAGTATGGTCAAATAAAACCCGACGATTGACACGAAGCGGGCAGCCTTCATCCTTACAGTGGATTGACAAACGGGCTAGACATTGCACGTGACATTTCAGTGAGGGCTTTGCAGAGGTGTGGACTCGAGTCATGTGACTTGGACTCGAGTCAGACTCGAGTCATGAATTTGATGACTTCAGACTCGACTTGGACTTGCATAACAATGACTTTGTCCCACCTCTGAGGTGTGGACTCGAGTCATGTGACTTGGACTCGAGTCAGACTCGAGTCATGAATTTGATGACTTCAGACTCGACTTGGACTTGCATAACAATGACTTTGTCCCACCTCTGAGGTGTGGACTCGAGTCATGTGACTTGGACTCGAGTCAGACTCGAGTCATGAATTTGATGACTTCAGACTCGACTTGGACTTGCATAACAATGACTTTGTCCCACCTCTGGGGCTTTGTAATGTGGAGCTAATCAAAGTATCCTGTGGATATCATAGCGCGCGGATGAATTTGTGCAAATTGTAAAATGATTATTTTTTTGGCAACAACAATGAAGAGTAAAATTGACAGTCAAATAATACAAGGCCCGATGAATCCCAGAATCCCACGAGGAAATCCACCGCTGGATGAGGACCTGTGCAGGTCCTTGAGGTTATATGACAACACTTCACTACGATTGTCTGTGCAGGTTGTCGAAGGCAGGGGAGGCGTAGAACGTTGTAGCATGGGGGCCGTCCATAAATGACGTCACGCACCTAGGGGGGGGGGGATGGGGTCAGACACGTTCTACTTTTTTTTCTCCTCTGCATTTAAAATCAACATCACGTGTTTTGAGTATTTGGCTGCTATAAATGTCCACACGATAAGCCACTTCGTTTAGCTGTCGTTTGTGGCCAGTTCGCTTCTGAAAAAGAGCCCTGTAGCTCAGTGGGCCTTAGGGGCAGTCCATAAATGACGTCACGCCCCTAGGGGGGTGGGGGGGTCAGACATTTGTGACGATGTGTGACGAGGGGGGGGGGGGGTTTGAGAAATGTGACGTCACATCAAAATGCGCAGCTTTAAATAAATATAGACAACACGTTCTACTTAATTAAATACACTTTTTAATAATAAAAAAATTCCTACAATATCAGAGTGCAGCGCCACATTAAATACGCACTACAATGACAATCGTTTAATGCGATTTGAAGCATGTTTTATGGGGTGGGGGGAGAGCTTTGTGACGTCATATTTGAGGGGGGGTCTGACTTTTTGTGACGCCGTGTGACGAGGGGGGGGGGGTCAAAAATCATCCAAAATCGTCCAAAATCGCGTGACGTAATTTATGGACGGACCCATAGTACAGGACAACAATAGATTTAGCTGCACTGCCCGTTGATGCCAACGTAAGCCTTATTAAAGCAAACATCAGAGACTGTGGAATCATCCCAATTCATACTCCAATAAGTCCACCAAGTTATCTGCCCCCCCCCCAAAAAAAATAAAATAAATAGTAATCTTGTCTCTACGTAACTTTTTTGTTTTGCTTCCATGCACAAGCTATCTTTAAAATGGCAAAATGAAACGTTGGGACCAATGAATGGAGATTGAATTATGCCTCTACCGCCCACTGACTTGTAACCCCATCACTGTTGGGCTAACAGGGCTCTCTTGTGTGCCCGAGATATATGTATGTGTGTGTGTGTCGCTGTGGCCCTTAAAGGGCCGCACTGAAACTCGATCCAACGTGTTGGTAATGGGGCCTCCCAGCGGTCACAACAGGCCCCATTGAGGCTCGGTGACTTCTATTGCAGAAACGTAACCGTGTTTGCATATAATATTGCATCTTACAGAGCCAGCGGCGGCCGTGCAGACACACTGGTGTTTTGAGTAAGTGTGTGTGTGTTGCGATAGTGTAGTGGTTAGCGCAGTCTGGGAAGAGGAGTTTAATGGGAGAATGGTGGCGGTGTGGTTCGCACACTAAGCTGCAAACTGGGAAATGTCCACTCAACGGCCAATACCAGCAACGATTATTTAAACCAGGACATGGGTCACACTGAAGTGTAAACATCAGTGTTGGGGAAACAACGGCAGGCAGGCGTGGTGCGGGCCAGACCACCATGTGTGCCGTGCCGGCCTCTATAGGTGCACGCGAACGGCACTAAGCCCCTTGGGGATTATCAGGAAGCCCCCCCCCCTCTCATCAATCGCTGAGTGGTCATTAAGTGATTTAAATGCTCAAAGGGGCCGTCCATAAATGACGTCACGCACCTGGGGGGGGGGGTTGTCAGACTTTTGTGACGATGTATGACAGGAGGGGGGGGGGTGTTTGAGAAATGTGACGTCACATCAAAATGCACAACTTTAAAATAAATATAGACAACACGTTATACTCAATTAAATGGACTTTTTAATAAATGTTTTTTTCCTACAACATCAGATTGCAGCGTCACATTAAATACGCACTACAATGACAATAGTTTAAAGCGATTTGAAGCATTTTTTTTTGGGGGGGGGGCAGAGCTTTGTGACGCCGTGTGACGAAGGGGGGGGGGGGTAAAAATCGTCCAAAATCGCGTGACGTCATTTATGGACGGCCCCAAAGTCTATCAACAACCACACCGGGGCACTGCCTTAAAGTCAGCCGGGCTCTACTCCAAGACGATGTCTTGGGCTGCCTCCCACGCACGTTCTGTGGATGGGGCGTCTGGAATGAATCACACATCCTTGGCTCGGCTGGCACCTCCATCGTGGACAAGGGGAAATATAATGGGGTGTGGACCAATCCGTTTCAAAGACAATGCAAATTTGATCAGAGCATGTTTTGTTGTTTGCGTGTTCAGCACAAGTACGTGTGGTTAATGCAGACATGATTCCTTGAATAAGCATTCCGTTTGGTGTTTTAACATCTTAACACCTGCTGTTTTATTGCCAGAAAGGGTAAACACCTATTGTTAGAAGGGGAAATATATTTGTAAACACGGACGGACAGGCCTGTGTGTATATATATATTTTAGAGGGGTTGGATCTCGAGAGGTGATTGGGTGCGGGGGACAATGTTTCGTTGTTCGCAACGCAGCTGCTGCGGCCTCGTGGCTGAAGGTGGTCCTGAGCTGGTTTCCCCGTGCGCATAGTCCACATTGACGAGATGCTAACTACCTCGCCTGGTATATACAGTAGGGGGTTGTGGGTTCGATCCCGATCCTGATCCCGACCCTGACGCCTGTATGTTTGGAGTTTGCATGTCTCTCTCCCCGTGCTCGCGTGACATTTTATCCGGGTCCTGTAGGTTTTTTCCCTCCACATTTTAAAAACACGCGTTTAGAATATTTGGCTGCTATAAATGTCCACATGATAAGCCACTTCGTTGATCTATCGTTTGTGGCCAGGTCACTTCTGAAGAATAGCTATAGAGCTCTGTGGACCTTACCTGGTAAATTGAACAATCGTTAGTCATCATGAGGCCTCCTTTGCCAGTAGCAAAATATAATAAATCGAAATATAATAATAGGGTTTTTACCCTTTTTTCTGGCAACAAACCTTAAACTTTTTTTTACAAGGAATCATGTTTGCATTAACCACAATACCTGCAGTCAAAATGCTTACCTCGAGCCCTCATTACTCTGATAGTGCGTTGTCTTTGAGTTGTGCGCCTTTTGGCGTCTTCTGGTCGAACACCAAATGAGACTCGGCTCTAAGCAAAGCTGTCTCTGGTGTGGACCAATCAATTTCAAGGACAATGCATACATTATCAGAGTGTGTTTTTTGTTTGCATTCTGACTGCAGGTATTGTGGTTAATGCAAACATGATTCCTTATAAAAAAAAAAGGTTTCAGTTTTGTTGCCAGAACAAAGGGTAATAAACCTATTATTATAATCGTTAGTCAGTTATAATTAGGGCCTTTTTTCTTCTCTATTACGCCGATGTGTTTTCCCATTTCCCGTGTGTTTGTAACTTGCTTTTTTAAGATTCCGTAGCGTCTAAGCGATTCGTGAATACAAATCCCTATCATTCCCGCTATTCCTTATAATCCCATTCGGTCGTCTATCAGAGAGAGAGAGGGAGAAACTCGCCGCTATGGGAGATGTGGAACCTCCACCACAGCCTCTGACCCACCGATTGAAATGGGCATCCAGCCCAAAACGCTCATTGGCTCGAGAAGGCCCTTTGTCTTTTGACTCGAACAATCTATCTATATATCCAGGAGTCATTATTCACAGAAAGGGGCTACAAAGGGGGGCCTCTAAAACCCAATACACGTGGCAAATGGCGCGGCACCAACACTCGGGCACGGCGCCAAACATGCCAGCAGGTAAGGGGACACGGACGGACCCTTTGGGAAACGGTGCCCCTCAACCCTCTCGTGCACTGCGAGAATGCGAGAAGGAATGATTGAACTTTGAGCGAGCTGCCGTGTCGCAAGAAGTCCAAATACCTCCTACAGCGGCGTCACCACACTGCTGCACCTGCAGGTCAGAGTGGTCTAACGTAGCCTCCATCATCTCGTGATCCGTCAACGCTGTCTTGGAGAGTCTCTGTATTACAGGAATTGGTGCGGGATCGCTACGGAACCCCGTGGGCCGAATGCAGGAACTGGACGGGTCCCGGACAGAGGGACCAGGATCGCCGATGGAGGGAAGTAAGAATGAGTTGGGACCGAGGTCAGTGGAGATGCAGCCAGGCCGAGACGGAGAACATTCATCGTCGTCGCACGTGAGTTCACGCACATCGCGAGAACATGCGGTTCACTTCACGATTATCCGGCGTTGTGGATTCGCCGTGCTTGCGAGGAGAGAACATGAGCTGCTCCTCACTTGTCGACGGGTCAGTGACTCGGTGTTTCACGTGACCGCAAATAAATTGGCAAGTGAACCGATGATATTATTTCCGTGCTTGAATATACCAATTGTGCTGTGTCCATGCATTACTCCAGAATTCGATCAAAGCCAAACGCAGAGTGCAATTGCTCATCCTGTGTGGCGTCCCTGAGCCAGTGGTGGAAATTCCACATTCCCATGGTGGGTGCCAGGTGTTTCCAAAGGATGATTGTGGTTGCCGTAGTAGTTGCTGGCTAACAGCACTGTCCTCAACAGTCAGCAAGGATTATATGGGGCATCTTTGGCTTTGTCTTGTGATGGAAGCCGTCATGATGATGATGAGGACATTCGTGGTGCTGATGGCAATTTTAATCAGTGGTGATGATCATCAATGTAGTTGGGGGGGGGGAATGATGATGTGCTATTTGTGGTCGTGGTGAAGGAAGTTGTTTTGATGATAGTTGTAGTAATGATAATGGTAATAGTGGTAATTATTATAATAATGACTCGTAGAGAACCCGAATGCTCTGAAATGAAAATAAGAGAAAGCTGTCCATACTCATGATTTTCACACAATCTCCTGTACTCAGAGGAATAAATGTAATTAGCTTTGTATGTGATAACACAATGCCAATGTATTAAGTATTGCGAGATTTGTATGTAATATTGTCGATGCTTTAGTGAATATTCTGGAGAAATTGTTGCATTAACAGACGCACAAATAGGAAAATGAACCGTGGTCAGTCTTTTGTATTCGTTAGTCCCACCTCTGCAGTGTTGCTATCGATGATTATGTCTTTCGATTTTTTTTCCGCCCTTTTAATCTATTTCGATGTGCATTCCTTACACGGAATATCCCGTGTAGCCAGTTACCCAGCTAGTTTCAGTCGTAGCGGCCCGGAGCAGCCACTCACAATTTTATTATTGTTTGTGTGGAAAATTATAATTATTCCAATTATGGTGGGAGTGGTGGTAATGCTAATACGATGCAGTCGTTATGGTGATGATGACAGAATGAATGACGGGTTTTTTTCTTCACATCTATTATTCTCCTATACGCGTTCCAGAGGCCTTTACAGCACATCGAAACACATTTGAAAGGGCACCCCCAGTGGCAGCTATTCCTTGGCACAATGAAACACAGCACCCAAGCGGCCGGGTGCTCTCTGGTGTGGACCAATCAGTTTCAAACAATGCATATATGATTATCAGAGCATGTTTTTTTGTTTGCATGTTCACCACAAGTACGTGTGGTTAATGCAGACAGGATTCCTTGCAAAAGGGTTTCTGTTTGGTGTTTTAACATCTTAACACCTAAATTTCGATTTAAAGCTTTCGTGACTGCAGGGATTCATATTCTTGGTTCTTTCGGTAAAGTCACGTAGAAGGGAAATAAAAATAATAAAATAATATATGTTGTATCTTATTTTATTATTATAATATATATGTTTTATATTATTTTATTATTTCCCTTCTACGTGACTTTACCGAAAGAACCAATAACATCTTAACACCTGTTGTTTTATTGCCACAAAGGGTAAAACCTATTGTTATACAACGGGCGTTTGTCTGCTGGTAGGGGGAGAGAGGAAGGGATTGCTTTGTACTAATCCCAATTGAGAACTTGCGAGTCATTTCCGAATTTGGCAAATGTTGGACCCCGTGACCGTGGTAAGTCGGGAATGACATTGGTACTGATGACGCCGATGGTGTCCTTCTGCAGCCCATTGGCTGGCAATGCCCCCGAGCCGCCGCGTGCGCCGTGGTGCTGGCTGGATGCGGGGTGGCCCTGGCTGGTGTGTGCGCCTTGTCTCTCCTCGCCATCCTCAATCGACGGTCGCACCAGCAGCAGCAGCAGCAAGTGCGAATATCATAATTCACAACATACAGGTTTTGACAAATAACTCCAGCCCTCGTGATGCGTCTCGTCATTTCTTGCCAGATTATATTGTGCCAGAGCTCTCGACGTATGTGCAATTTGAAGGTCTCGTGTGTTCATTCAGACCATCATCAACAACTCACGACCACTTTGTGGGAAGTAAACAGTGGTTTTTCTGTTCGATTTAAAGCTTCAAAGACTGCAGGGATTCATCTTCTTGGTTCTTTCGGTAAAGTCACGTAGAAGGGAAATAATAAAATTATAAAAATAAAACATAATAAAATAAAATTCTACGTGACTTTACAGACAGAACCAAGAAGATGAAAAGTGATTTTCCTCTGAATAGACTCACACTTACCATAGGGATGTGGAATTTCCACAATGGGTTCAAAGGATCGCCATAGCAGATCAACATCACCCGGCATTTGTAAAAAATAAAACCAATGGTTCATCATTGACACTATAACAGATATCACACAAAGTTACTTTATGTTGGCGACTTAACTATTGAGTGTGTTGTGCAGTGCAACAACACCTGGGTGCACAGTGTTGGATGAGCCCAGGTGCCAGGCTATGAACACATCGGCAGGCAGTGGACAGAAGGGGACTCATTTCATTATTTAGACCGGGGCCCACGCAAATCACGCTACGATGCCACCGTGATCATTATAAATCTCAGCACGGTGCGGAGATGTTAACTGGTATACAGGAGGTCGTGACGCCTGCTGTATATTTGGAGTTTGCATGTCTCTCTCCCCGTGGTTGCGTGGATTTTTCTCTGGGTCCTCCTGTTTTTCCCTCCACATTTAGAAACAACATGCGTTCAGAGAATTTAGCTGCTATGAATTTCCAAATGATAAGGAGGCCTAACCCTAATTAATGTATGGGTCAGAATCTGTCAACACTGTACAATGGACACCCCTGCTCATGTTAAGCCACTTAGTGAAGCTATCATCTGAAAAATAGCTTCATAGTTCAGTGGGCCTTACCTGGGAATATAAATACATTGATTATAGTTCATACGACCCCTGACCCCCTGCCCTCCCCTCCCGGAACGGGGTGAGGGAGGGGAATTCTCGTCCAGCAGTGGACCCTGCCGTGCCGGGAGCGTGGTCACCACCGGGCGAGTTGCTCCCTGGAGGTGGACACCACCGGGGCCACCCTCACCGTGACGGTGCCACGGGATTCGGCGGAGCCTGCACTGCTCGCGATGGACGCGCGCCACGTGAGTGCAGATTCGGAAACGACGCACGGAGCTTGACACCCCTATTCCATTTCGATTTAAAGCTTTCGTGACTGCAGGGATTCATCTTCTTGGTTCTTTCGGTAAAGTCACGTCAGAATGGAAATAATAAAATAATAAAAATAAAACATTATAAAATAATTCTCTGAGAATTAATAATAAAATAAAACATAATAAAATAATTCTCTGAGAATTATTTAATGTTTTATTTTTATTATTTTGTTATTTCCATTCTACGTGACTTTACCGAAAGAACCAAGAAGATGAACCCCTATTCCACTGGCACATCCGAGCCCGTGCCAAGTCGTGCCGTCGTGGCTTAGGAGGCAAGAGGTCGGATTTTTTTTCCACTGCGGTATCCGAACCGTGCCACCGATGATGTCACACGCAATGGGAGGAGGGGCTGTAGATGCCGTCTCCTCGCAGCGTACTGACGTCACATGCAATGAATGCCTTGTCAGCTCCGCCTCCTGTCCCTGCTTGGCCCCTGAGGTGAGCTTTATACGTCTTGTGAGAGACCAAGAGACCAGCATATCGCAGTTTGGTCACAGTTCGGCACGTCAAATTGTCAGTGGGAAAAACCGTCACGTGCTGTGAAGACGCCGTGCTGGCTCGGCTCGGATGTGCCAGTGGAAAATGGGTACAGAATAAGGCATACATACCAAACGTCCACCTTTGCCCAGGACAGTCCCGGTTTCACGAAAACTTGTCCGCCCCCCCCCCCCCCTCCAGTCGGTATATTCTGGTTTCATATCTTCTGGCCCCGACGTTCCAACTTGTGATCGGGGCAAGGGGTGGTGGTGGGGCTAGCCGAGTCGTGGGCAGGGTGGGGTAGAGGAGTAGGTCGGAACCTATGAGCAGCGGAGCAGGGCCAATGTCAGAAAGGGGAGGGGCACTCATGTAGGCGGGGCTAGTAGGTGAGTGGGTGTGGCTATTGAAAGTGGGCAGGGCTATAATATAATGTTTCACAATGCGCATTCCATTTCTAAGATCCCAATGCGCAACGCATGAAAAGCAGGGAACAAAAACAGAACCAGGGCAACCGATCAAGCTAAAGAGGGAAGGCCGCGTTAAAGAGATGGGTTTTCAAAGCAGACTTAAATATATCTACCGACTCTGATTGCCTGACTTCAAGTGGCAAGGCGTCCCATAGTTTGATTGCCACGCTAACAAAATTCATAATAACGTTTTTGGGTTAGATCGCGTTATTTATAAATGTGTCGTAACCCTCCACCACCCGACACGGCCCATTATCAAAAAAAGTGTCACGTTGACAAAAGACAAATAGTTCACTACTTTAGCCCACCGGTGTGTTGAAGAGTGAAACTACAACATTTACAATTTTTGAGTACGACGTTTCGCTGGTAATTGCATCCAGAATCATCGGGCAATTCGCCAGAATTGGCCGTGTCGGGTGGTGGAAGGTTATGACACATTTATAAATAACGCGATCTAACTCTTTATTATGAATAATATTCGTCGCGAAAGCCTACGTGTTAAACTGACGCTAACAAAAGCCCGATCACCAAAATAGTGCAAACCTAGACCTGGGAGTGCTGAGCAGTTGTAGATCAGAAGATCTTAAGGACCTTGATGTAATATCTAAATGTATTAGTTCCTGCAAGGCTGAGAGGGAGGGGGCTGCAGGCTCAGTCCTGTGTCCCGGTTAAGCCTCCCAGGTGATTTGGTAACTTCACTGTAAAGCCATCAATTGCGATTCCATTGACACAGTCAATGTGAACGAGTCATCACGAGCAGAGCCGATGATGCCACCACCAATCATTTGACAATCACTCCCCTTCCTCCTGCCAGACCGTAAAACGTTTGCAATGTCAACACCCAATCTGAAATGTCCTTTATGACAGTCTCATCGCCATCTCCCTGGAGCTACAGGTCTTTCCCTCCTCGGTTGCAAATCTGTGGGTGTCCTAATCTCCGAATGCTGAATTTATGTCGCTGTAACTTGCCTATCTTGCACGCATGCCCCATCCATCGCAGTACCCAGTTCATAAAGGATGACGAAGATCTTCTTGGTTCTTTCGGTAAAGTCACGTAGAAGGGAAGTAATAAAATAATAAAAATAAAACATAATAAAATAATTCTCACGACGTTTCGGCCACAACGCAAGCAGCCGTCCTCAGGTGAAACCAGGTCTGTCGAGGCGACACTGCTTGCGTTGTGGCCGAAACGTCGTGAGAATAATTTTATCATGTTTTATTTTTATTATTTTATTACTTCCCTTCTACGTGACTTTACCGAAAGAACCAAGAAGATGAATCCCTGCAGTCACGAAAGCTTTAAATCGAAAGATGACGAAGATGTTGCTGCTTCTGCTGCTGATGTTCGTAAGAAATGTGTGATGATGGTGATGCTTCAAATTATACTGCTGTGGTTGCTGCTGCTGCTGATCATGATGCTACTGCTGATGATGCTTCTGACGCTGCTACAACTGAGGATAATGTCTCTGTGCCCAGCGAGTCGTGTGCTTGAGGGAGGCGCTGAGGAGCGGGTGCGTCGTGAGGTCAATGACCCCGCGCGAGATGGAGTGTGTGCGTCTCACGCTGCAGCAGGTACCAGCACGAGCCTCGAGCTCCTCGCCATCCTCACCACGCTCACCATCCTCACCACCCTCACCGCGCTCACCATCCTCACCATCCTCACCACCCTCACCGCGCTCACCATCCTCACCATCCTCACCATCCTCACCATCCTCACCGCGCTCACCGTCCTGACCGTCCTCACCGTCCTCACCGTCCCCACCACCCTCACCGTCCTCACCGTCCTCACCACCCTCATCGTCCTCACCGTCCTCACCGTCCTCACCGTCCTCACCGTCCTCACCACCCTCACCGTCCTCACCGTCCTCACCACCCTCACCGTCCTCACCGTCCTCACTGTCCTCACCGTTCTCACCGTCCTCACCGTCCTCACCGTCCTCACCATTCTCACCATCCTCACCATCCTCACCATCCTCACCGTCCTCACCGTCCTCACCATCCTCACCGTCCTCATCGTCCTCACCGTCCTCACCATCCTCACCGTCCTCACCGTCCTCACCGTCCTCACTGTCCTCACCGTCCTCACCATCCTCACCGTCCTCACCGTCCTCACCATCCTCACCGTCCTCATCGTCCTCACCGTCCTCACCGTCCTCACCGTCCTCATCGTCCTCACCGTCCTCAACATCCTCACCATCCTCACCATCCTCACCGTCCTCACTGTCCTCACCGTCCTCACCATTCTCACCGTCCTCACCATTCTCACCGTCCTCACCATTCTCACCATCCTCACCATCCTCACCGTCCTCACCATCCTCAACATCCTCACCATCCTCACCGTCCTCACCATTCTCACCATCCTCACCATCCTCACCATCCTCAACATCCTCAACATCCTCACCGTCCTCACCATTCTCACCATCCTCACCATCCTCACCATCCTCACCGTCCTCACCATCCTCACCGTCCTCACCATTCTCACCATCCTCACCATCCTCACCATCCTCACCGTCCTCACTGTCCTCACCGTCATCACCATCCTCACCATCCTCACCATCCTCACCGTCCTCACCATTCTCACCATCCTCACCATCCTCACCATCCTCACCGTCCTCACCATCCTCACCGTCCTCACCATTCTCACCATCCTCACCATCCTCACCGTCCTCACTGTCCTCACCGTCCTCACCATTCTCACCGTCCTCACCATTCTCACCGTCCTCACCATTCTCACCATCCTCACCATCCTCACCATCCTCACCGTCCTCACCATCCTCAACATCCTCACCATCCTCACCGTCCTCACCATTCTCACCATCCTCACCGTCTTCACCATCCTCAACATCCTCACCGTCCTCACCGTCCTCACCATTCTCACCATCCTCACCATCCTCACCATCCTCACCGTCCTCACCATCCTCACCGTCCTCACCATTCTCACCATCCTCACCATCCTCACCGTCCTCACCATCCTCACCGCGCTCACCGTCCTGTCGCGGCTCAGCTGCAGGATGGCAACCACGGGCACTGGCCCCTCCCGTTCCACTGACGACCTTTCGACCCCCTGCCATCGCCTACCACCCGCACACGCCCGACTGCCATATTCATGTAGTTTGGTGCTGTCCCGGTGGTTTTATACAACGCAGGACAGGTGAGATAACAACAACAAAACACACCAAAGGCGTCGAGTTACTCTCGTCTTGGCTGCGAAAGGAAGTTATCACCCCCGGTTTTTCAAGTTCAAGTTATGGTGGCAGCGTGTGCGTAATCGCATATGTACGTGTGTTTCAATGTATGCTGAACTTCTTTCGCGCCGTACGTAGCCAACCGTGCGAATCGGAGGTGCGGGGGAAGGACAACCGACGTTAACACGCAAAAAGCAGTTTTGAAAAAAGAAGTGTGCATTTGGCAGGTCAATTCTACGACGCCGGTGATGAACGACACCGCCACAGCGAGGACAGACCCTGAGCTCTACGACCAGGTGGATGAGGAGCTGGTTTTGGGATCCACCGTACGAGCCCTTTGTAGAGCCCGACCGCCCAGACGGGCAAACACCCACGGCGGTGGGTCACTCGCACAACATCGCACACTCACTCAGCGATTCCTCCACCCGTGTTAAGGACTCATTGTACGCGACCGACTGCGTCGTATCATCTCTTAGGGGGTCGCCACCGTGGCAAAATGTTAACTACCTTGCTTGGTATACGGGAGGTCGTGGGTTCGATCCCGGCCCTGACGCCTGTGGATTTGGAGTTTGCGTGTTCTCCCCGTGGTCGCGTGGATTGTTCTCTCCGGGTCCTCCGGTTTTCCCCTCCACGTTTAGAATCAAACATGCGTTTAGAGTATTTGACTGCTATAGATTTTCACGTGATGATAAGCCACTTCATTGCGCGATCATATGTGGCTAGATGGCTTCTGAAAAACAGCGGCATAGCTCAGCAGCTCTTACCTGGTAAAATAAAATAAAATGTTTTTTAGTTTAGTACTTTGTCCAACCACCATGCAACACTTCTCTTTCTGCTTCTCACCTCGAACTGCACTACTCTAGAATCCCACCATGATCAACCCAAGAGACGTACTAACTCGTGTCCATTACATCTTTGATAGTGCTGTTTGTGGCTGGCCGCTTCGCGATTTTGGGTCTTTGCGCCTGTACTCAGCAAACTGCAGCGAAGTAAACACCAAAGGCGTGCCCGGAGAAAAGCCAAGCTCAGCAGGGGAGAATGTTTCAATGTGCAGCAGTTAGGACTTTTTTGAACATCCGTCATTGGCCCAGGGGTTTTTCGTATTGAGGCATGTTTAAAAAAAGAAATAGCATCCACAATTTGGAAAGCAATAACACCTCTCGAAGCCAAACTCATCTGTGGTAGATCCTTTGTGGAGTGATGTTGGGTTTTCCAGCACACTACAATTAAATGAGCATACAGTACTCTTGAACACCTCCACTTAGGTGTATGGCTTGTATGGAAACTCATGATTAAATGTACAAGTGTGACAGCCTAAGGACGTCTTCAATGCCTCTGATCGCTTTTCCTAAATTCACAATGGTTGACATGAACACTTTGATGCAACACTGAATAAAAATGGAAATTTCCGGTAAGGTCAACATGATTTGAATAATCTTTAGATTTTTTTGCTGTTTATTGGATGTAAAAAAAATTTAATGTCTATCCGAGGTTATTTTATCGTGGCTAATCAGTTCATATCAGAAATTAGTAGGCCTAACCCGAATTAATGTATGGGTGAGAATCTGTCATCCCTGTACAATGGACACTCCTGTTCATGATAAGCCACTTCGTTGAGCGATGTCTGTGGCCAGGTCGCTTCTGAAAAGAGAACCTGATGGCTCGGTGGGCTTTACCTGCTAAAATACAAAATAGTTTAGTTTTCATATTCTTGGTTCTTTCGGTAAAGTTACGTGACTTTTATTTTTCGATTTAAAGCTTTCGTGACTGCAGGGATTCATCTTCTTGGTTCTTTCGGTAAAGTCATGTAGAAGGGAAATAATAAAATAATTTTAAAAAACATTATAAAATACAATTCTCACGACGTTTCGGCCACAACGCAGGACGGTTGCTTGTGTTGTGGCCGAAACGTCGTGAGAATTGTATTTTATAATGTTTTTTACGAAAGCTTTAAATCAAAATTTAGTTTAGTTTTATACGTATTTTTTTTGTGTGACTTGATAACCTTTCACATACTTCGCACTGCTGTCGTGTTTTTGTACCGTTTGTTTTTTGTTGTCACGTTCTGACCCCGTGCCCCGACTCGACATCTGTGAAAAAAATAGCTTCATAGCTCATCGGATTCCTCCACCAGTCTGGATAAAGATTCTGATTCTGCGGTGATCCGTGGGTGTTGTGGGCAAGCAGGGAAGGAGAGATCCCTGCTGCATTTCTGCGTGGATCTGTGCTTCCCAACCAACACCTGCATCACTGTCTGCCTCTACTACTCGCCGTACTTCTGACTGCTGGGAAAACAGCAAACATCACCGACTCGCAGCTGGCGTCGGGAAGTTTGCTTTGTAAAACTACTGTTGATTACTTGAGGTGTTGGGACCAACTGGACATCTGTGAAAAAATAGCTTTATATCATTAGACCTCCTTTGCCAGTACCAAAATATAATAATAGGGGTTTTCCCCCTTTTTTCTGGCAACAAAACTGAAACTTTTTTTTTTACAAGGAATCATGTTTGTATTAACTACAATACCTGCAGTCAGAATGCTTACCCCGAGCCCTCATTACTCTGATGGTGCGTTGTCTTTGAGTTGTGTGCCTTTTGGTGTCTTCTGGTCGAACACCATGTGAGACTAGGCTCTAGGGAAAGCTGTCTCTGGTGTGGACCAATCAATTTCAAGGACAATGCATACATTATCAGAATGTGTTTCTTTGTTTGCATTCTGACTGCAGGTATTGTGGTTAATGCAAACATGATTCCTTGTAAAAAAAAAGGTTTCAGTTTTGTTGCCAGAAAAAAAGGGTAAAAACCCCTATTATTATATTGTCACTTCCAAAACAACAAAATCATAATCTTTATTTATACTGAAGGAATCCGATTAGCTATAAAGCTCTTAATAATAGGGGTTTCCCCCTTTTTCTGGCAACAAAACTGAAACCTTTTTTTACAAGGATTCATGTCTGCATTAACCACAATACTTACAGTCAAAATGCAAAAAAAACACACTATGATCATATATGCATTGTCCTTGAAACTGATTGGTCCACACCTAGGGACGGCTTTCTTTTCAGCCTCGACCCAATTGGTGCTCGACCAGAGGACGTCAAAGGCCTTTCAGAAAGGGGCTCAAATGAAAGGCCGAGGCTCAAACGAAAGCCATCCCTTGGTGTGGACCAATCAGTTTCAAGGACAATGCCAATATATTATCAGTGTGCTTTTTGCTTGCATTTTGACTGCAAGTATTGTGGTTAATGCAGACATGAATCATTGTAAAAAAATGTTTCAGTTTTGTTGCCAAAAAAAGGGGGAAAACCCCTATTATTAAGAGCTTTATAGCTAATCTGATTCCTCCGGTATAAATAAGGATTATGATTTTGTTGTTTTGGAAGTCACAATATGATGGATGCTAAATGACATCCTGGTCAAGTCGGGGGGGGGGGGGAGGTGGCGGGATGGAGGCTAACTCTGCTAATTATAATTTGAGGGTAACTAAAATGATAACCACTTTGTGGGATGTATAAATAGTTGTTGTCATTTTGAGTGATTGACCCTTGCTGTTGAGGATGTGGAATTATCACCACTTGCTCAGGACAATCACCCTGCCAGGTGCTCAATTGAGCAGGGAGACATTTAGATTTGTTGTATTTTGATTATAGTGCTTACAAATATATACATAGTCGGGCTTGGATTGCCTCAGGCATATCTACGGATAGAACACTTAATGATTTTATGAATAGGTATTAAAGTAAGTTGTATATGCATTCACTGGTGATGTCTTCACATTAATCCAAGCTGTATAATGATAATTCCTTCCGTAATTTATTTCCGGAATATTTTTCAAATGTTCATCGTAAAAGTACCATCATCAGTAGAGCTAACCAGCTCTTTCATGACCGTGCCACCACATCACTCATATGAAAAAATACAACACCGCCTTAAAATATATGAAGTTTCAGGCAACGGCCCTTTTCATTGCAATGACCATTCTTCAAATGCGATAAAGACGGGCCATTGCCTGATACGTCACCGATTATACAGGATTTTTTTATTTTAAGGCAGTGCTGTTGACGGGTGTGTTCAGTTTTTTATTGATTAATTGTGCTTGTGCACCACTTGCCAACGCAGCATCCAACACCACATCATTCGTTTATGATACTCGTACGTATGACCAATCGAATCTCGCATACAAAATAAATAAAAATGTGTCAACGCAGCGACTGCATCAGAACTCTCATTTCGTTGTCTTGCTGACATGTGTGTGCGGTGTGTAACCACGAAAATACTGAGTGAAGATTTTAAGTAGGTGACCCTCGGTGCTCATGCTCTGCTGTGTTTTCCACTTGCGTCCCCTCCCACGGATTATTATACTGGTAGGAACCACCTTGTTCCACCAGCCCACAGGGGATTATTGTGCCCGTCCGTCGTGCATCCAAAAATGGGATGGGTGGGGCTGGGTGGAGAGGGGAGGGTGGGGAGGGGTGGGAGGGGCTGGGTGGGAGGGGCTGGGTGGGGAGGGGCTGGTCACCCCGTGGTGCCCTTATAAAACTCAACGTTTAACCTACTCACGCCGGCTTGTGCCCGCCCTCACAGTGGGCCATATTTGCGGAATACACCACGCCGCCGTTGACCCTGGCCATTGACCGAGCAACCCAATGTTCCTACCAGCTCCCTCCGCAGGAATGTGTTATATATGTGATCATCGTTCACTGAACTTGTTGTACGTGACCTGTGTGTTTTGCTCATATTTATTCTGAAAGTACATTTGCAGCATGCTTTATTGCAAATCTTATATTTCACAAAAGACAGTGTAATTCTTTATGGGATTTTTTTTGCCAGCGATTATCGATAAAGCTACAACAATTACATTACCCGTATTCTCCAGAGGATGACAATCTGGTCATACACAAATTTATCGGAATATAAAATAAAGAAACTCGAAATTCATACTTAAGGTGCTTGACGTAAATTTCAAGTATGTCGATTGTGAAAATTCATCGGCAACTTCCCGGGCGACTGAAACAAGCATATGTTGCGCGTTAAACCCTTGTACAAGTGACAGTCTCATTTATTTGGTTCATCCTGGTGGGTAGAGGGTCTTGCAACACAACATTTGACCGGATCATTAAGTGGCCTCGCACAAAAATATATTCTGAATTATAATATAACTCACCAGAAATGAAGGTTATTGTTATTTTCGGGGATGATCATTTCATCCCAGTAAACATGCAACGTTGAGCCAACATTAGTTGAAGTTGGGCCTACGTTGGTCCATAGTCAACCAACGTTTGTCCAACGTTCGTTATGCTTACCAGTAGACAAGCAGTAGCACACTAGGCAGTGTAGACGAGGTATTCTGATGGACAACGAATGCTACAAATGGACCAAATGAAACAGACTCAAAGGTCAAAGGTCAAAAAACAAGACAGCACAAAAGAGACAGTGCAAATAAATTCTCACGACGTTTCGACTGCAACACAAGCAATCATGTTGAGTCTATGATTGCTTGTGTTGCAGTCGAAACATCGTGATAATGTTTTATATTGTTATTATTTTATTATTTCCCTTCTACGTGACTTTACCGAAAGAACCAAGAATATCAATCCCTGCAGTCACGAAAGCTTCAAATCAGTTGCATCGACGTTATCAGCCACACTGGAACTCATCAGAACAGGAAGGGGGGGACGGTATGGGGGTTACGGGCAGGACGGATAAATCGATTTTAAACAACGCAGAGTAACGGAAAAGTGAATAAACAACAACAAATCAAAACAATTCGTACTCCGACAGTGACCCCTGCTGGCAGCTCGCAGCACGTGGCCGCCTCGAGTCCATTTTGTGGCCGCGGTCGTCGAAGCGCTCCCCCCGCGCGGTCACGCGACGACAAAATCGCCCCCCCCCCCCCGCGTAGCCCCCCCCCCGCGTAGCCCCCCCCCCCGCGTAGCCCCCCCCCCCCCGCGTAGCCCCCCCCCCCCCGCGTAGCCCCCCCCCCCGCCGCCCCCGATTTAAACGCGCGCGAAAAAAAAGCCCTACAACCGTGACAATCAACAAACTCCAGGCGAGGCTTTACGAAATTCTACATTTTTTGTTACTAACAGGGAAAAAAAACACCGCTGGCGCTAAAACTAAAATTTTTAAATTGTTTCGCAAACCCCCTCAGCGCCCCCCCCCCTTAAAAATAAATTAATTTCCCACAAAGACGCCCGGAGGCCCGACGCCGATGTTCGCTAGGCCCAAGCCTACGGTCTTGCCTGGACTGCCCGCCGGGAACGGCGCCGCCTGACTCGGCCGCCGAGGCGACAAGCGGCCGCCGCGGAGGATGTGGAAAGAGGGCGGCGGCGGTGGCAGCAGCGGCGGCGGCGGCGACAGCGACATCATCCCTCGCCCCGACGACTCTCGTCCGCGTCTCGACGATTCTCACAAACGAAAAGTCGACGGCGACGCGGGGCCTCCCGGGGCCAAGAGGACACCGCGGGCGACCGAAGCCGGTGGAGGAGGCGGCGGCGGCGCGCATGGTGGACACGGAGGTCGAGTCGGTGACATCCCATTGTCTCTGTCCACCCGGCCACACGATCACGGTGGTGGTTTCCCCTTCTACCGCCAGCCCGTCGAGGTCGGATGCTTCTCCCTGGACGCCGAGCGGCGCTTCCACGCCGACGCCAGGCAGCTGCGTTACTACGCTCCACCAAAAGGGGACGACGACGGTGAAGGAGGAGGTGGTGGTGGCCGTGGCCGGGTTCGCGATGGAGTTCGTGGGGCGGCCTCTGGGCAGAGGGACGCCGGCCGTGCTGGAGCTGACGGCGGCCACGGTGGCAGTGGTGGAGGCTGTGGGGAACGTGGCAGTGGCGACGGAGCAGGTGATGGAGAATGCGGAGGACACGGCCTCACTGCTGGCGCCGGTGACAATCGTGGAGGTGGTGCTCGAGCAGGAGGATTTGGCGTTGCCGCTACTTCTGGTGGTGGTGGTGGAGGCAGTGGTGGTGGTGCCACACGTGTGGAATTTGACCTGCGGGACGGATACCCCGAGCGCTACGTTCAGCGAGACGACGACATCAAGGAGAAGCTGGACCACGTCCTGCGATGGATCCTGCCGAACCGGTACAAGTTCGCCCTCGCCGGGGAGACCTTACGGGACAGCGCTGCCATCTCCAGGTGAGATAGAGAGAGATAGAGAGAGACGAGGGAGGTGGGGGACAACTTAGCCGTCATTATTTGACCTCTCGACCCTCCCCCCTCCAATGACAACGGCAGCATTGCCATCAATTGCGAGTCAACGTCGTGGGGGAAACTGTCGCCAAACGGAGTTTCGACAAGACGCGACTAAAAGTAGGCGTTCGGAAGTCGTCAACAATTGCGATTGATCCTTTACACCAGACCCGGGTTCAATCGTACAGCAGTTACAATTACAGCAGGCGTCGTATTGTTACACGGATGTCAACCCAGACTTTTTACCCCCTATTCGTGTACGGGGAAATTGAGTTTTCGGGTCCATACGGCGTGCAGCCGTTTCAATACGTGCAGCAAAAAATATTGTCTATTTGTGTTTCTGCCTTGTGGATGAGACATTGTAGGATGAACGTTGAAATTTATAAGGGCACGAGGTGACCAATAAGGTATGAATTGGTCTGTAATAAAGTAGGGTACTCATAAGGAGTTGACAGGTATGTTGTTATCTTAATTTATTCGTCACCAGTGACACAATTCCAATTGTAATTTAGCCCAGATCCAGCTTCATGAAGTGCAGTATTGCCTTTTTGTCATAATTCGTATTTTGTAGCTTTTGAAACCCCAAAAAGTCGTGACAATCGCTAAGTTGACAACTCTTGATAGGCATTCGGCAGAGCCCCTCTACCTGACAATACCGAGGAACAGAGAAGGTGACTTCAGAAGCATTGGTCCGCGGTGTATTTGATGCATCAGTGTGTATTAGTATGCATTCTGACAGGTTTACAGAGCGGCCATGTAACCACGTGTGTAGGACTATGATGGTTACGCAGTTACGCGAACACAATTGTACATACGAGACGGGACTGTGAAAAAGAGACGGTAAAAAACGAGGTGAAATAGATTGAACCGGTTCTTGAATTGAATCCCATCCATGGGGAATTATTACACTGTTTGTAATAAACGATTAATAACGTTCACCAACTGAAAAAATGTTCAGTTTTGGTCCATCAACCTCTGGGATTTGTGGAACAGTGTGTTCTTACCACTGAAACATTTGATCAATGTTTTCCCTTCAGCATTTTACCTAACAGGTGAACTTTTAAACTAATGCTGGCTGGAATATGTGCTTTAATGACCCACATATCACCAAGACAACACGCAAAATAATGGTTGTAAACAGCTGTCTCGGAGGTGTATCTACCTGAAACTTAAGCTGGGCCTGTGACGGCAGTGAGCACCAAAAATGAAAGATGGCAAAAACGGAAAAGGTCATAGGTTACAATAGTGGAAGAGGGGCAAGGTAGTATGATGGTAAAGCCAACTAGCCAATTACACATGAACCCCACCTGTGACGAATTTATGAATATGGTGTTGTCTTCTTTTACAGAAGATGGGGCTGCATGAGAGGTTTCCACCCGTCCCTGCATTTCACCAGCTTCACTGCTTTCTTGTCTCCCCTTTTGTTTGAGATATTGTTTTGCCGTGTCTTAATCCAGCGCACCCGTGCACTTCCTTCGTTTCTTGTTCCGTGTGCCTGTGTGCATAACGCCACGTGTGGTATCTCTCCATCCATTCTAGACACGCGTCCAAATCGTCAAAGTTGGCTCTCTTGGATCTTCTCTTGTCAGTGTGACCTCTTGTCCCCGTCATTCTCTTCTTGCTTTTGCTATTTTAGTTACCCAACCATACACCCAACTTCTAACCACTCCAGTGCTTCGCCAGATGGGCTGTATAGATTCGCTTTGTGAATGCATTTATCACCCAAAATCGTGACAGTTCATTAAATCGCTTTGTGTGTGTCAAAGCAGTGGAGATAATATGCATATTTGTGAATCATTACGTACCTGTGGGGTAATAGTAATGGACAGCCTCTTTGCCCGTCCAATGCTGGATGAAGGCCTCCCCTAATCATTTCATAATTAATTACGCTAGAGAGTGCAGGCTGGTGTAGGTGGTGACCAGCACTGGTTCAGATATCACTCATACTGATTTTAGTCATGGCCAGTAATCAATCTCGGGATGCTGGGTTTATGGCAGAGTGTGGAAAAGCACTGCGTCAGAGTTCCACTCCGTTGTTTTGTAATCCCGTACGTTTTTATCGTTGTCTCGACGCTCGCTAACGAAAGCTTGCACACGGACGTGGTGACGTGGAGGGGCCACCTGACGAAGGTGGCCTGCACGCCGTACGAGCGACACGAGGGCTGGCTCATGGCCGTCACACTGCTGGCCGGCACGCGCTACATGAGCGAGATGGAGACGGAGGAGGCACGGCGGCAGCGGGGGACGCGGGACGCGCGCCAGCGCGAGATGACCTACTGGGGCTACAAGTTCGAGCAGTACCTCTGTGCAGGTGAGCGCCGGTACCACTCTTGTTGATAATAGTTTACTCGTTTGCAACCCTTTGTCAGTCCGCTGCGGGATGAAAGCCACCTTACACCACAGATTAAAACGTGGGATTTTAAAGCATGGCATGGGCAGCTTAAAACATGGGATTTGAACCCAGGATCTCGGGAGGCAGTGATTCGGTGTTATAACCTTCGAACCACCCAGCCATCCCGCCACCCCAATCGTGTCTTCCTGTAATGAGGCGTTGATTACCCCTGCACGTTTGCGTCTTCAGAAACCCCCGGAGGGATTCCGGACCCCGGCGGCATTGTCAACACTAATGAGGCGTTCTGCACGGTGGTTCGGACCCGGCTGAAGAGCCACTCCCTTGTCTTCGCCGGGGAGGTCGACTGTCTCTCCTGCCACAATGCCGAGGTGGACAAGCACCGCGATGCCGAGCCGGCAACTCCAGCCCGTCGGGCCTCAGGGCAGAGGCCTCAGCAGCAGCAGCATTCCTCCAACTATGTGGAGCTGAAGACCAGCCGCGAGTTGTACACCCCCAACCAAAGGCGCAATCTGCACAGGTCGGTATCGGCGTTTTGGGTTTTCTTGTCGGGAGCAAAGCGATTCCGTGGCCCACTCGGAAGAAACTGAGCTGCAATCTCATCCCAAACAATAAATGAAAGGAAATTTGACAGATACATAACCTGCAAAAAAATTCATATTGAACTATTATAACATCGCCTTGGCCATGCCAGCATTTTACAGGATGTGTTATTGTAAAGGACTTTTGAAAGCTGGCCGGGTGGTGCTTTATGTTTGAGTCATTGGCTCACAATCACAAGTTTGCAAGTTCAAATCCAGGTCAGAATCATAATATTTATCTATCTTGGAGAAATCCGTCAATGATCCACTCAGCCCATCATCTTTCCAGGGCCCTTAAAATGAGTACCAGTCTGACAACTCTGTTGTAATTATCCTCTGAGGATGCTGGTGTTGTCATGGCAATGTGGAATTTCCACCACTGACTCAAGGTACCATCTACACCCATTTTTTTAATCCGGAAAACTTTGTCAATATTGCCCAAAGTATTATTTTGGACCCCCCACCTCAGGAGCAGCTCGCCCAGTGGCAATGAGGGGGAAGGGCTACAGTGCAACGTTTAGCTGCCAATGATCCTCACAAGGCACTGCTATGGATAGACTGCTCTCAACAACGTGAATGTGGAATTGCCACTATTGGCTTTGTTTCTGATTTCAAAGTCACATCGGCTCCCCCCAGACTCCCTGTTTGGGCCAACGGGTTTCTCTGCTGACGTGTGCAAGTGTTTCCGCCCGTGGGGCCACCTGACGTGGCTGCTGTGTGCTCGCTTGATTTACATCCTAGCAACGTTGCGTGTAAGGAGCCCCCTCTGGCTCTCGTGGGATTACCAAGGGACTGTCGTCGTGCGAGCCGTCAGCGCGGTGTTTACACGGGGGGGTCACTTTACGATTGGCCTGTGTAGACTTGGCACGTCCGACGTCTCACAGTTGCGTATGCATTTCGTCATGTGATGCAATAAAAATACCAAGTTGCGTATGAGCCCGTTAGTGTGCGCTACTATACCGTTTATGAGCACTGTCTTTGCTGAATGATCGTTGTAGGATTTTTATAAATACTAACTTTTTATTTTAGCAGGTAAGGCCCACTGAGCTATATAGTTCTTTTACAGAAGTGACCTGGCCACAAATGATAGCCCAATGATGTGGCTTATCACGTGGAAATGTATAGCAGCCAAATACTCTTAAACGCATGTTTCTAAATGTGGAAGGAAAAACCGGAGGACACGGAGAAACATACACGCGACCACGGAGAACATGCAAACTCCAAATATACAGGCGTCAGGGTTGGGATCTAACCCACAACCTCCTGTATACTCGACAAGGTAGTTAACATCTCGCCACTATGGCACCGGTGGCGAGATATTTATACACTCTTAACAGATGGTCGCAATCTGTTGGAAGGAAATTATGGGAAGCTCAAACGCCAGCATGGTGTAAATTTAAAAACCATTCCACTCACCATATAGTTTACAGCACCTGGAGATGCAGGTCGCATTTAGACATTGGTATCAATCTAAATTGTATTTGTAAAAGTGTATTTTTATTAAGGGAACACAAGGACCCCATGCACATGCTGGTGCCAGTGTTCCTTTTCATCCAAAATTTGGCTAAACTTTTCCGATATCTTCCTCAACGACAGTGAGAGAAATTACCAAAGAAGTGCATTTTGGCCTTTTTTTGTTTTTGTTTCAATAAATTTGTCAATTTGGGTGCGTCTAGGTTTAAGCTGATCAAGTGGTGGGCCCAGTCGTTCCTGGTGGGAGTGCCAAAAATAGTGGCCGGCTTCCGTGATGACGAGGGCGTGGTGCGGAGACTCCAGACCTTCGAGACCCTGCACATCCCCAAGATGGTCGCGGTGAGACGTGTCTCGTGCTCAAAAAAGCAAAACGTTAAACCATCACCTTGCTCATGTGAACATTAAACCCGGTGATCACTTGAGAGACGAGTGGAAGGCGACATTGGCCCGTTGTTGGGAACCGCGCTTCCGTGTTAAGAGCAGAGCAAGTTTTGGAGGACGCCAGAAGTAAACTTGAATGTTTCTCCTGCCCTGGTTCATTGCAGAGATCGTGTTGCTGCTAATGAAGGGCGCTAATGAAGGGCGCTAATGAAGGGCCAGGCTGTGGGGCCAGTGATTAATGAGCCTTTCACAGAAGCTTGCTTGCGGGGGGGGGGGCGCTGTGTGTGCGCAAATGCGTTGGCATTGGCACCTTCTAATGTGTGTTCTTTACTCGTGCGTTCACCAATTTTTGTGTTGTAGGATGACCAGGAGGCGTGGAATGGCTCGGTTTGTCTCAATTTTGTGGAGGCGTTTCTGACCTTCATGAAGAAGGTTGTGACAAAGGATGACCCAAAGTGAGTGTGGGGGTTATTTGAGCATATTCTCCATGCTGGCCAGTGCGAATTAGTACAGGTGGGGAGCCATAGATATTTGTGCATAGGACAGTACAACAATGGATATTTTTGCTCGTGCCCTCTGCTGTGGCTCTATTAGGACCACAAAATTGAGGCCAAGGTTACCCTAATTTTGTTTTATTTAGCTTATGCATATTTTCATGACACATTTACAGGGCTTGCCAGTTTATAACCTGGATCTGATTATACACATGACATCTTTAAAAGGCTGATCTTAATTTTTTTTTAATTACCTGTTTTAATACATCCCTGATTTGAGTTTCACAAAATTAATTATCACGCCATTTGTCCGGCAAAGTCTCAATGAAGATTTGTTTTAAAGGAGACCTATATTGGGATGTTTGGCTACTTATCAAGTACATTTGCATGTGGGATGACACTTAAACACCATCAGAAAACAAATCCATGCGTACAAGGGGATAACACTTGGAAGGTCTACCTACCATATCTGAACTGCCGTACAACTCGGCAGGTTTGAGATTTCACGTTTGTGTTATCCATCAACCCTCCCCTCCAGAGTGCTGGATCACAGGTCAGCACAACCGTTCCCTGCCAATATAGAATAATAATAATTACTGGCTTGATGGCCACTCGACAGCCAGCAGAGGGGATAACATGCCCGAGATTGTCCATCATGGAGATGGAGCGATAAACATAGTTAAATTTGTCGTCGAGATGGGACTATGAATTCGGCTCGTGTGCAGGTCTAAGATATGTCTGTTAAATTTCGATTTAAAGCTTTCGTGACTGCAGGGATTCATCTTGGTTCTTTCGGTAAAGTCACGGAGACTTTAAACCCCTCGCCAAACCTCCTACGCATTTCACAAGTAGTACTAATCGCATATCTGCATTTGCCATAAATATGCTAAATTCCTCTTGATATGCAAATTATTTGTCAAGACGCTCTTCGCCCCTCCATCCCAGCTTAAATAGTCGCTTGCGTTGTGGCCGAAACGTCGTGAGAATTATTTTATTATGTTTTATTTTTATTATTTTATTATTTCCATTCTACGTGACTTTACCGAAAGAACCAAGAAGATATGGTTATTGTTTCCTGGCTAGACTTAGGAATGGCTGTGGCTTGGGAAGGCCTTCATCCAGCAGTAGATTGTTTACGGCTGCCACCTGACGATGGATTGCTGGCTTGCAGGACGGTGTACCTGTTCTCCTGGGAGCCTGGCCGCGACGTCACGTACAGCGTTCACCCCGACTCGGAGCTCGCGTTCCTGCCCGACTGGTACGTCAGTGAGATGGTGAAGTCGTCGTGACTGGTGGAGAGAGAGAGCGTTGCCACCCTCTCGCTCGCCCATCCGACTGGCGCCAGCGGGGACCGCCCATCGCCGTCTTGTTCATCGAAGCTACGAGCAGAGAGCGACGGAGCGAAGCGAGCCTAATGGGGATGGTGTCGCCACCATCCCTCCGTTCTCCGCTCTAACACGTCTTCGACGACGTAGTGTCCACCCCCCTCCACTCCACCCCTCCCCACCGCCACGGCCACCACCTGATTTTATGCAGGCGCCAGGTCAGGTGCTTTTAATGATATAAATGCGAATTGCAATTAGTTGATTATGAGGGTGGCATAATTACTAAATCGCAACTAATGGACTATAAAATGGGACACTATTTAAGAAGCGTTGCTGGGAGGGAATCAAAATAAGGGTTGTTGGGAGTGCATTTTGCGCGAGATAATTCACCCCAGCACTTTGCTGTCTGCCCTCCCGGCTGTAGAACCCCGGCAAATGACCGCTGTTAACGGGAATGGAAATTACGGCAAATGGTCCGGGAAGATTAACCGGAAGCGAATGCCGACGTATAAAATATAAAAAAGCAACGAACTGAAATGAAAGTACATCGATCCGTGGCAGCTTTTAGTGCGGAAGCGTTTGGGGAGCTACCACTACTTACAGGGTGAAGACAAACCGAGTGAGCGGTGGAGTACAGTCATTCATCCTGGACTACCTTATAAGAGGGACACTCTTGTGAGTGTCGTGTCCTCGTATTGCAAGCGTCGTTTACAAGCAAACAGCAATGATTATTATGACGATGTCTCATCAATGTGGCGTGAGGGCTGATTTACGAACATTCCCTCCTTGCTGCGAATGGACGTTTTCCCCCGAAGGGAGTGTCGTCGGCCGTGGCGAGACGCGCGTTTGATGAGCAGTTATTGAAATGTCGCGAAGGAACGCACCCGCGTCGGGAACATTTAAACATTTTCTGCGTTCAGTTTTTGTCACCAAGCCGAGTTCAAGTGGTCAACGAGCAATGTGATGGTGCTTTTCTCTGCTGGTGTAAATTCCACATTCCCATGGCAGGGGTTGGCCGAACACTCATCTGACCACAGTTGATGGCCCACTAAAGAGGTACTCGTTTTTTATCAACACTTGAGGGTTAATAGACCAAGTCTTAACTCCAACCAGGAATTCAACTCGCGGCTTTTAACTTAGAGCACCACCCCAGCCAGTGAAAATTCAACACCTGGCTCTCAATAGTCGTTCATAGAAATTATAACATGGACTGATCACCCCACTTGTGTCTGTCCCCGCTTCTTGTTAAACAACTTGGCAACGCTTTGTCAGCACTAGTGGTTTCCCGAGCGAGAGTAAACTGAAATACGTGTGTGTAATATAAAATTAAATGGCCCCGAACAGAGAATAGGACGATGCTGTGTCCGTTTCGTTCCGGATCATAATTGAGGCAGTCGAATAGGTCTGCTGGCGATATTAATCCCGGAGTGCAGGTGTGATGCGTAACAATTCAGGTGATAAAGGAGTATACGTGTGTACAGCTAAATTGCCTCTTGGTGATCGCCGATCATTCTTACCGTAGTTAGTAAATCGGCCCCAGTACCAATTGTGAACGACCAGTTTAGAGACTGGGTGGCTGGAAAGCATGATCCACTGCATGATAAAATAGTGCTCTGAAGTCGCACTGACGAAGCGATCCAAAATGGGTTTTGGACGATTTGAGGATTTTGACACACGCCGAATCAGTTTTTCGTTTTGAGGCTTTGCACAACTCTCTTGCAGGTGAAACCCCCAATCGTTTGTAAAACCTGACACCCCAAACTTTTCCCCAGTAGATGTTTCCATTCGGGCTAATGAGTGGTTAAACCAACGAATATCTTCAAGGGATCTTTCAACATTATCAACACGTATCGCCAGCGTACAAACGGTAAGTTGGGTTGGGATGGGCGTGAAGTCTACTGTAGGCTTAAAAAAACAAGTTTCTTAATTTTTTTCCCCACCATTTCTAATTGTGGCATCAGTGTTGTTGTGTCATGGGACGTGTCTTGAACGCTCACCGAGTTGGATAACGAGCGACATTTTCTTTGCTCCCATCGCCCCTCCGCTCCTTCCCGTCCTTCCCCCCCTACCCTTTCGTAATCCCCAAGCACCCTCTGCCACAGTCACTCATTCCTCGATCCCTACACGCCGAGACCGTCGAAAACATTCTATTCTGTTTCCGTTTTGTAAGCTTTGTCAAGCCCCTTGACTTGAGGCGCTCATTCAATATAAAATTAGATGAGTTATCACGTAACTACTTTTGAGATCCCTTCAAGTGACCTCTTTTATCCACAGTAAATGGGCGCTGCATTTACCCATGCTCCCTGCTGTACGGTGATGTTTGTGACATAACTCTCAAACTTATTTTTGTTGTTCTTCATTCTCAGAGCCGAAAATGTTGCCCAAAGCAGCAAAAATCCCAATGTGAAGTGGTTTTTGTTCATTCATTGGGTGACCTTGCCGAGACCATCCACTCACTCCCCTTGAGAACCCAGTTCAATCACTGACAGCTGAAGCCCACATTTGGAAGCCAGGAGCTCAGCAATGTATGCTCTGCGCTGTGGACCTCAGAGTCACCTGGCCACCTCGATATCGTATGTTTAAAAAAATCCCTAAGATGTCGAAAAGTCTCTTGAGAATCATCGTTTAGAATGTGTGATTCACAACACTGGTCTCTGTGTACAGCTGCTGCTGCTGCTGCAAGGGGGAGTCACAGATGGGGTCAGGATCTGGGAAAAGTCACTTGTGTTGCGTGATTTGTGACTGGCGAATTATCTGCCATGGGAAAGTACTGTTCCATTGGGGCAGTTGACATGGCAAGCGGTGGCGCATTTGCCAACTGTAGAGATTCACAGTTCGCGATCCACGTCCGCCCTGGTTAATACAACACGGTCGTGTGTGTATTCTTAAGGGCAAAGACGTTTTCAGAACTGAAACATATTGAACTGTCAACTCCTTTCTCAATAGGACCAGTATCAAAATAAAAAAAACAAGAATACGCTTTAGCCTTTCTGGCAATGAAACTTGAGATGTTCAAACACCAAATATGTACCGATTGCAATGCATACAGTCTGCATTAACCACACACATTTTTTGGCAAAACATGCAAACAAACATGCTGTAATAATATATGCCTCGTCTTTATGAGAGCACGTTTGTTTATATGTTTTGCCACAAGTTTGTGCGGTTATTGCAGACTTGACGTCCTTGCAATAGGTGCCTGTTTGGTGTTTGAACATCGTAACACCTGTTTTATTGGCAGAGGAAGGTTATGAAGCCTATTCTTATTTTGACTTTTTTTCTCAGCCTGTGTTTCTAAGTCAATCAAGTAACATTTTTATGCGCATAAAGCCACACCTGAAAACCATAAAAACGAGAGCCATTCTGCTACCAGCTGTGCCCAGCGTTTAAAAAGAAGTGTAGGCGAATGGGACAATGTTTCACAACCACAAAAGGTGTTATTTAATGTGGTCTTTCTGTGGAGAGGGAAGGTTTGTTGTGTGGCTTTTACGAGCCACGCTTAAATGTCGATGATGTCAATCGATCTCTAAAACTGCTGACTTTGTGTTTTTTTTTGTTCTTCCCATGTGTATATTATATGAACCCTAATATTTATGAGAGAAAAAAACGTACACGTAACGTATTAGAATTTAACGTTTTACATGGTACGTTCACCGCAAAAATAATAGAATTTGCTTTTACGTTTTTATACTGTGTTTCCTTGTATTCTTAAAAAAAAATAGAACAACCAAGTTGGAATTGTTTCAGAAATGTGACTAAATTGTATATTTGTGTACCGTGTAAAATATTGCAAATAAATCACGTTTTTTTTAACCGACAAAAAACTCATCTCGCTCCTTGAATCACGTCAGAACTAGGAGGACCTACGTCTGCACTTCAGGAGCGGCTGTTTGAGAACCACTGCTCCAAGCAGTAGAGCTAGACAGCCAGTTTAGATTTATTTTCATAATCATATCCATATACCCAGTCTGTTACCCCCAGCTTCACACACTACCATCACCATTACCACACGTTGTTTTTCAGCTTGCGCATTTCTAATTTAACCCCCCGGCAGCATAACAAAAGGCTGCTTAATCTTAGCTTTCTTATGTACTTCCGTCCCCTGCATCACAAAGCTTCAGTTTGAACTCCATACGTTGTCACCAAGCGCCCACCCCGTTCCTCACATCGTTGCCTCCCAGTCCACAGCCTGCCCACACACTCACCATGGCCCCTCCCCTCCCTTCACCCCCCGCAACTATATAATTCCTCGTCACAGCCAGCTCTTAGACACACTTAAGCGGTTGTGCTTTCGTTACGTTGTCCACACCTGAAGAAGGACGCTTGTGTTGTGCCCGAAACGTGGTGATTAAATTTAGTTGTTTTCATTTATTTTATTTTTTACCTACGTGACTTTACCGAAAAAACCAAAGAGTATGAATACAACCCACGCCCACAATGAATTTCCATTATTAGACATGAGATTAGGTTTCTTTCTTTTTAAATCGATTTTCTTTAACCATTGTGATGAGTGCAGCGACCACTAGTGGCAGGATGTGTCACGTGAACTCTTTCAGGTGCAGCATTCGTGAATAGCATGCGATCCGATGCATATTTCAAGCGCTTAAACATTGATATTGTTTGATGAATAAATGCGTTCTTACACCTTTACCGAATTGTCATTCCATATACTTTAGTTAAATAAAACATCCTCACTTAGACACGTTACAGGAGGGGTCCTGTTTTGGAATGTTTGACCGATTCCTATTTGAATGTTTTGCGTGTGGCAATACAGCCGATGAGTTGGAGAACACCCATGCATACCGAAGAAGAATGCAGTAGATCATCGATTATATCCAGTGGCTTCGGGAGGTTGGGCACCGGGTTTCAAAAATGCGGGATAATCACTACATGATTTAAAAGTGTATTTTTGCACATTCTTGCATGACATGTTTGTAGGTGTTATATGTGTTTAAGTTTGTTAACTACGTGAAATACGCATTAATAAACATGCAAATGGACACTAAATATCCTACTTTTAAAAGTTACCGTATTTACTGTACCGTACTTACCACTCCCATCTCAAGGACTCTGCATAGGGTGATATATACGTGCAGAATTTCATTGCTTAAGTTGTATGTAGTGTAACACATTCCTGCGGAGGGAGCTGGTAGGAACGTTGGGTTGCTCGGTCATTGGCCAGGGTCAACGGCGGCGTGGTGTATTCCGCAAATATGCCCGACTGTGAGGGCGGGCACAAGCCGGCGTGAGTAGGTTAAACGTTGAGTTTTATAAGGGCACCACGGGGTGACCAGCCCCTCCCCACCCAGCCCCTCCCCGCCCAGCCCACCCTATCCATCCTCCCCACCCAGCCCCTCCCCACCCTCCCCTCTCCACCCAGCCCCTCCCTCCCCACCCAGCCCCTTCCTGCACGACGGACGGATGGACACAATAATCCCCTGTGGGCTGGTGTAACCAGGAGGTTCCTACCAGTTTAATGTACCGTATATAATAGCTGACACTGAAATCAAGCCGGGCTACTTGTTTTGTCACGCACGCGGTGCCGATCGCCGGACTGGTTTCCAGCTTTTGGAGCAGTTTTGCCGGTTTCGCCGGATCGGGCCCGGGACCGCAGGATAATGTAAGCAGCCGGATAATCGATGATCAACTGCACACAGAAGGTCCACCACACACGTGGCATTACAAACAACAGTCGTGCGTGTGTGTGAAGACTTATCCCGACCATAGGCATGTAGAATTTCCAGCTCAGGGCCACCAACAGAGACGCGCACCACGCCGCTATTACTCAGAAAAACTGCGTGAATTCGACCACTTTGACTTGGCGCTATGGAGAGCATTAATTTATTGTACCCTAACACATTACTTGCCAAGGTTGTTGCGTATTGCTTTCTCCCTCTCGCTCTTTTTGAGAGAGCGGCGTTGATGATGATGGGAGGGCGCCAGCCACTCGTTGCCAGTTATCGCAGCAGCAGGCTGGTCAGTAATTAATGAGTGAACGCGTCTTAATGAGGACCGGGTCGCAGATGCTGCTTGCATCGTGGCAACAGGCTCCTTCACCTCCTCTCCCCGAATCGCTGCTGTGGAGGCGACTCGTTGTGTTTTATCCTTTATATTAAGTTCGCTTGCTTGCTTGCTTGCGTGCTTGCTTGCTTGCTTACGATCGTGCAAATCTTTCGGTCGTTTTAACCCACTTCCCGTGATTCAATCGACAATTAATTTTCGTGAATTTTTTTTCCTAAATTTTACACTGTTTAGGGATTTTTTTTTAAATATTTAATTACCAATTGCTTAATGCTGCCAGACAATCATCTGACCCATAGGTGGCAGCCATCTCAAGCCAGAGGACGAGAGGACTCTAGCCGCCACGCATATAAAGGATTTATAGTGAAAATTTTTGTTTTTACGGGTCAATTTTTTTCTTTTGCTGCCCAGGGCTTCATTTCAGATGGAGCTGTCCGGGGCTGAGCTCTGGAAAATATTACTCGGCCGTTCTTTCCACCCCTCCTTCCAACTCCACCACCATTCCCGCCGCCACCACCACCACCACGGCCGGAGTGGGGATTTGGGTCCCGTGAAATGGGTGGCTCTGGAAAGTATTCCATGAGAAATTTGAACGTGATTCAGCCTCTCATCACCAATCATCACGCAGGGGGTCGATTACATTGGCACTGCTTTGCAGAATGATAATTATTTACGCAGGTCGCCAGGTTGACCCATTGGTGCGGCAATTTAAACGCTGAAAAAGTTTCAGAAATCACCCTGCCTCTGTCTGTCCACCAACCCAGCAGTACAAAGAACCGGTCTTGGGCCTCCCCGAGGTCGATTCAGCCTCAAATGGGTGCCGCGGTGGCTAGAAGATGTTAACTACTTCGCCTGGTATACAGGAGGTCGTGGGTTCGATCCCGACCCTCACGCCTGCTGTGTATTTGGAGTTTGCGTGTCTCTCTCCCCGTGGTCGCGTGGATTTTTCTCCGGGTCCTCCGGTTTCCCCCTCTACATTTCAAACACGCGTTAGTCGAGTATTTGCCTGCAATACATGTCCACGTGATAAGCCACTTCGTTGAGCTATCATTTGTGGCCAGGTCGCTTCTGAAAACGAGCTATATCGCTCAGTAGGCCTTACCTGGTAAAACAAAGCATTGTTTAAATACTCTTTGGTTCTTTCGGTAAAGTCACGTAGGTATAAAATAAATTAATTTATTGGATGGATCCCTGCAGTCACGAAAACTTCAAATCTAGATTTTTAAATCGTTAACAGTTTGAAATGAGTACTTGGTCCGGTGCGTACATTTCACCACTTGGGAGACAAAGGCGGCCGGGCGTGATGCTGGCCGCCCAACACACACCCCCTTGTATGCCGTGCAGGCCTTCATAAGTGCTCGCTAACAGCACTTTCCCCAAATAGCCTGTTCAGGCTACATGGGGATTTTTGCATTGCGTTATGTCTCGGCGCGTTCATATGGGCAGACGACAGCTCGTCACGTGGGTTTGGCCGCAAGCTGCTCCCAGGATGAGAGGCAATCTGGTGTTTTAAGAGTTTACAATAATTTGTCTGCGCTTCTCTAATAACACACCGAGGTGTACATACGCACGCGGCCCATACGCACACGTACGCACGCTCACCCAGTATCAGTTCAGCGTTCCTGTAACTCGTTGTATAATTGTTGCGATCAGTCTAAAAATAATAATCTGTGCAATATTGTTTTACGTCTCGCGTGACACGGTTGTTTTTGCACCGATTCCTATTCGCTTCATTGCTGTGCTTTCATTTGATTTATTTGGCGTTTTCCCATCTGGTGGCCCAGGTCACACTTGCAAATCAGACTCTGATCTGGTCTCTTGAGTTGTCACCTACCTGGCTAAGCAAATAAACTTGAACTGAACATACACAAACACGGTAGGACCAACACCTCGGCCGTGGCAGATCACTGTTATAATTCAGTGGGCTCACATGACATTGACTTCTCCAAGACAGGTTCTCTGCAAGCCATCTGGCTACCATGAGAGATTCGTTCATGAGGCTATCCACATATACAAACACAGAGACAGTTTCAACCGAGAAGATGGATTCTGGCTTAGCAATCATTGGAAGGATATGATCAACCATTTCGGGTCTTAATTGATTGTGTTCACGCTTACGGTGACTTTCAGACCGCATTCCATTCTCTTCCTCTCCCCCCTCCTCTTGTCCGAACATAGATCGACTCGTCAATCTGAAAAAACTGCCAAATCGCTGTCCGTGGTGCTGACGTAACGCCAGTTTTTTCAAATTTTCTTGCTGTGGATTTCACACCTGATGATGATTGCTTGTGTTGCAGTAAAAACGTCGTGAACAGGTTATTGTTTTATATTTGTATTATTTTATTATTTCCATTCTACGTGACTTTACCGAAAGAAAAAAAGAATATGAACATACACAGTTACCCCTTTACATAAACACTCAGCTCACAGAATATAAACACAGACAAAGCTCCCCCGTGTAGCGTCAACAGACTGTTGGGGCAAGTACTGTCAGCGAGTAGCACCTATGAAGGCCGGCACGACACACGAGGGGGTGGGTGGCCAGCACCACGCCCGGCCGCCTTTGTCTCCCCCAGTGGCGATGTTGACTACACACCCGCACAAAGGCACTCATTTGAGGCCGAGTCGACTTAGGGGCGGCCCATGACCGGTTCAAATCATCGCCGCCGGTGTTGTTGGTGGCCGTGAGCGGGAATCGAACTCGGGTGGCCGGGTTCGCAGCGCTAACCGCTGCGCCACCGCTCCCAACACCGACACACAAAGTCTGGCACGTGTTATGACCCTGCCGGACTGGGAGGCTGTGCGTGCGTGCTGATGCGAGCTCTAAATGAAAACTTTAACATCGCACTCCACGTCGGAGAGACGGGCACGTGAAAGAGACTGCTTGTTGTTTATTTTGGCACGCACCATTGCACGCGCATAAGGCGCCGTACACGCACGCACACAACGTGAACACATTCAGTCGGCCATTCTTGGCGTATTGTTATTGTAGAGTGATCATTACTGTGATGAGGGCGGGGAGTGGGGGGCAGGGAGGGGGGCAGGGAGGGGGCGCAGGGAGGGGGGGGACAGGGGGTAGAGGAGGGGGGGGGGAGTGGGATGTCAGGGAGGGGGGGCAGGGAGGGGGGGTAGGGGAGGTGGTAAGAAGGGAGGGGGGGGCCCAGTTGCCCCGACTAAGTGAGGGGCATCACGTCGGGAACGAGATGAAACCTTCAAGTCGGTGTTCATGAGCTCGGCGGTGAACGTTTGGAGAGCCGTGGAAACAACAACAACAACCTCGTCGTTGTCTGTAAAACAAACAAACAAAAAGTGCACAGTATTATTCTAGTGGGGTGTAACTTTAGGCGGCTCTCCCCGTATCGTTCGCCGTTCTGCGGTTTGTAATTCGCTGCTCCGATTTCGCGTCCGTCCCGGGCTTAGACCACAACCCGTGCCTCTCTCGCTCGCTCGTTCTCCCTTAATCCGCCTGCGCGTGTGATTGCGCTCGGAGATTAAACTCGTGCATAAACAACCACAAAGGCTCCCCGGGTAGCCTCTAACAGACTGTTGGGGCAAGTGCTGTTAGCGAGGAGCACATAATGGATGTGGGGGGGGGGGGGCAGGACACGACCGCCTTTGTCACGATACACACCGCACCGAGTTCAGTATATACATTTTTTACGACTGAACTGACCTAGGGGAGGCCCAGGACCGGTTGAAAAGTCGCTGCCGCTGTTGTTTGTCGTGAGCGGGAATCGAACTCGGCTCGTGATGCACAGTCCGCGAAACGCTGCACAACCAAAGATCCCCCGTGTAGCCTTCACAGGCTGTAGGGGCAAGTGCTGTTAGCGAGCAGCACCTATGAAGGCCGGCACGGCGCACGAGGGGGTGGGGTGGCCAGTACCACGCCCGGCCGCCTTTGTCTCCCCAGCGGCGACGTTTACACACCACTGCACCGAGTACTCATTTGAGGCCGAGTCGACCTAGGGGAGTAACACGGTCGTCTCGCTCTGAACTCGGTCAATCCCGCTGGCGATGATGATGGTGGTGATGATGGTGGTGGTTATGATGGTGGTGGTGGTGATGATGATGGTGGTGATGATAATGGCGGTGATGATGGTGGTGGTGATGATGGTGGTGAGGATGGTGGTGATAATGGTTGGTGACGATGGTGATGGTGGTGATGATGGTGGTGAGGATGGTAGTGATGATGGTGGTGATGATGATGGTGGGGATGATGGTGGTGGTGATGATGGTGGTGATGGTGATGGTGGTGATGATGGTGGTGAGGATGGTAGTGATGATGGTGGTGATGATGATGGTGGGAATGATGGTGGTGGTGATGATGGTGGTGATGATGATGATGGTGGTGATGATGGTGGTGATGGTGGTGATGATGGTGGTGGTGATGATGGTGGTGGTGATGATGATGGTGGTGATGATGGTGATGATGGTGGTGGTGATGGTGATGATGCTGCCGATGCTGCTGCGTTGGCATTGATGCATAGGCACCAAGATCAAAGGGACATTCAACTCCTTCCGTCGTGGCCTTAAATAAGGAAAAATGTTCTACCATAGACGATGTTTCAGACAATGCCGCCCCCCCCGTAATGAGTTCTGAGGAAGAGCCATTGACCGAAACGTCGTCTATTATACAGGTTTCCCGCGTTTTGTGCGGTTTCGCGTGTATGCGACTCACCTACTCATGCCCCAAAATTCGCTGTATGATGCGGTCTGAATTCACACACAGCTACACCATAACGCAATAGATATCGCACGAGTAATTACAAAACACTCGATAACACACACGGTTAATTGTAATACAACAGAGAGCATAGTTCACTATGCCTTTATTAAAGCACGTTTTCAAATGTGCTTACTCGTCAAATGAACACGCCGGGGTTTTACCACAAAGACAAAGATCCCCCGTGTAGCCTTCGCAGACTGTTGGGGCAAGTGCTGTTTGCGAGCAGCACACGAGGGGGTGGGGTGGCCAGCACCACGCCCGGCCGCCTTTGTCTCCCCTCTCCCCTTAGCGATGTTTACACACCGCACCAGGTACTCATTTCCCGCTGAGTCGATCGAGGGGGGAGGCCCAAGACCGGTTTCAATAACTGTCAACCACTTATCAGTGCCCTACCTTATTCCAGAACAATTCAGACCTTACTACTCACCCCGTACCCCTAATACATCTCAACGTTCACCCTACAACGTCCCATCACAAGGGAGAGACACAAACAAATAGACAAAAACACAATCTATTGCCCCTATTGAAACGGTTGTACGACGTATGGACCTGAAAACGCAATTTCCCCGTACAAGAAGAATACTGGGTTAAACCGTGTGGGTTGACATAGTGTGGGTTTTCTGATAATCGTCACCGGTGTTAGTGGCGGCGCTAACCGCTGCGCCACCGCTCCCCGTGTTTGCACGCACGCACATCCACATACAAAGATGCCCCGTATAGCCTTAACAGACTGTTGGGCAAGTGCTGTTAGCGAGCACCTATAAAGGCCGGCACGGCACACGAGGGGGTTGGGTGGGCCAACACCACGCCCGGCCGCCTTTGTCTCCCTAGTGGCGATGTTTACACATCGCACCAGGTACTCATTTGAGGCCGAGTCGACCTAGGGGAGGCCCAGGACCGGTTAAGATAATCGTCACTGGTGTTGGCCGTAAGCAGAAATTGAACTCGCGTCGCCAGGTTCATGGCGCAGCGTGCTAACCGCTACACCACCGCTCCCCACACACACATACACACACTCACATCCACACACTCACATACACACACACACACATCCACACACACATCCACACACATCCACACACACATCCACACACACACATCCACACACATCCACACACACACATCCACACACACACACATCCACACACACACACATCCACACACACACATCCACACACACACATCCACACACACTCACATCCACACACTCACATACACACACACACATCCACACACTCACATCCACACACACACACGTCCACACACACACACACATCCACACACTCACATCCACACACACACACATCCACACACACACATCCACACACACACATCCACACACACACATCCACACACACTCACCCTGAACACAGCTCTGCCTGCCGTCATCCCCTCTCGCCTCGCAAGCGCAGCGCTGACAGCGGATCGCGCGTGCAGTGCGCGTGGAGGTGGCCGAGGTGGCAGGTAGGTGGGGAGTGGGTGCTGAGTAGGGGGTAGGTGCAGGTTGGGTAGTAGTAGGGAGTAGGTGCAGGGTGGGTAGTGAGTAGGGGGTAGATGCAGGGTGGGTAGTGAGTAGGGGGTAGGTGCAGGGTGGGTAGTGAGTAGGGGGTAGGTGCAGGGTGGGTAGTGAGTAGGGGGTAGGTGCAGGGTGGGGAGTGAGTAGGGGGTAGATGCAGGGTGGGTAGTGAGTAGGGGGTAGGTGCAGGGTGGGTAGTGAGTATGGGGTAGGTGCAGGGTGGGGAGTGAGTAGGGGGTAGGTGCAGGGTGGGGAGTGAGTAGGGGGCAGGTGCAGGGTGGGTAGTGAGTAGGGGGTAGGTGCAGGGTGGGTAGTGAGTAGGGGGTAGGTGCAGGGTGGGGAGTGAGTAGGAGGTAGGTGCAGGGTGGGTAGTGAGTAGGGGGTAGGTGCAGGGTGGGTAGTGAGTAGGGGGTAGGTGCAGGGTGGGGAGTGAGTAGGGGGTAGGTGCAGGGTGGGTAGTGAGTAGGGGGTAGGTGCAGGGTGGGTAGTGAGTAGGGGGTAGGTGCAGGGTGGGGAGTGAGTAGGAGGTAGGTGCAGGGTGGGTAGTGAGTAGGGGTAGGTGCAGGGTGGGTAGTGAGTAGGGGGTAGGTGCAGGGTGGGTAGTGAGTAGGGGGTAGGTGCAGGGTGGGTAGTGAGTATGGGGTAGGTGCAGGGTGGGTAGTGAGTAGGGGGTAGGTGCAGGGTGGGTAGTGAGTAGGGGGTAGGTGCAGGGTGGGGAGTGAGTAGGGGGTAGGTGCAGGGTGGGTAGTGAGTAGGGGGTAGGTGCAGGGTGGGTAGTGAGTAGGGGGTAGGTGCAGGGTGGGGAGTGAGTAGGAGGTAGGTGCAGGGTGGGTAGTGAGTAGGTGCAGGGTGGGGAGTGAGTAGGGGGTAGGTGCAGGGTGGGTAGTGAGTAGGGGGTAGGTGCAGGGTGGGTAGTGAGTAGGGGGTAGGTGCAGGGTGGGTAGTGAGTAGGGGGTAGGTGCAGGGTGGGTAGTGAGTAGGGGGTAGGTGCAGGGTGGGTAGTGAGTGGGGGGTAGGTGCAGGGTGGGGAGTGAGTAGGGGGTAGGTGCAGGGTGGGTAGTGAGTAGGGGGTAGGTGCAGGGTGGGTAGTGAATAGGAGGTAGGTGCAGGGTAGGGAGTGAGTAGGGGGTAGATGCAGGGTGGGGAGTGAGTAGGGGGTAGGTGCAGGGTGGGGAGTGAGTAGGGGGTAGGTGCAGGGTGGGTGCTGAGTAGGAGGGAGGTGCAGGGTGAGACGTGAATACCCTGGCTGTATATACACAGTCACAGTGGCTTAACAATGGACGATGTATGTATGTGGGACTTCTTTTGCACCATACGTAGCCAACCGTGCTTATCGGAGGTGCGAGAAATTAACCAGTTTTTATTATTAATTCGTGTGATATTTGTTTGGAGGTATCGACAAGGTCGCTATTGGGTAGTAATGTGGTACTGAGTAGACATGTGCTGCGTGGGTAGGCACGTGCTGCGTGGGTCGGTATATGTTGGGGGGGGGGGGGTGTAGGTACGTGATGGAGTGAGTGATGGGTGGCGCAGTGGTTAGCGCACTGCGCTACCATTCCGAGCCGTGGTTAACGCCAGTGGCGAGTGCTTTCAGAACCGGTCCTGGGGCCTCCCTTAAGTAGACTCAGCCTCAAATCAGTGTTTACGTTCGCACGAGGGAGACAAAAGCGGCCGGGCGCGGTGCTCACCGCACCATCATCTTGCGCATCGTGTCAACCTTAATAGGTGCTCGCTGACAGACTGCTAGAGGCTATACGGGGGCAGTCTGCATTTTGTGGATGCTGGATTGGTGGTGACTCTGTGTAGTTGATTGTGAGGGGGTGTGTGTGCGGTGGGAGTATGAGTGTGCGTGTGTGTGTGTCTCTGTGGATGGGTGTGTGTGTGTCTGTGGATGTGTGTGTGTGTCTCTGTGGATGTGTGTGTGTCTCTGTGGATGTGTGTGTGTCTCTGTGGATGGGTATGTGTGTGTCTTTCTGGATGGGTGTGTGTGTGTCTGTGGATGGGTGTGTGTGTCTCTGTGGATGTGTGTGTGTCTCTGTGGATGTGTGTGTGTCTCTGTGGATGGGTATGTGTGTGTCTCTCTGGATTGGTGTGTGTGTCTTTGTGGATGGGTATGTGTGTGTGTCTGTGGATGTGTGTGTGTATCTCTGTGGATGTGTGTGTGTCTCTGTGGATGGGTATGTGTGTGTGTCTCTGTGGATGGGTATGTGTGTGTCTCTGTGGATGGGTATGTGTGTGTCTCTGTGGATGGGTGTGTGTGTGTCTGTGGATATGTGTGTGTGTCTCTGTGGATGTGTGTGTGTGTGTCTCTGTGGATGGGTATGTGTGTCTGTGGATGGGTATGTGTGTGTGTTTGTGGATGGGTGTGTGTGTGTCTCTGTGGATGTGTGTGTGTCTCTCTGGATGTGTGTGTGTATCTCTGTGGATGGCTATTTGTGTGTGTCTCTGTGGATGGGTATGTGTGTGTGTGTCTCTGTGGATGGGTGTGTGTGTCTCTCTGTGGAGGGGTATGTGTGTGTATGTCTCTGTGGATAGGTATGTGTGTGTGTATCGGAGTTCCTATTTAGTGTCTGGCATTTTATTTTTGGTGTGGCATTTTCTGTGGATGTGTTTGCGTGTGGAGGTCGATTCAGCCCTAAATTCGCACCCTGGTGTGGTGTTTATAAACATTCGCACTGGGGAGACAAAGGCGGCCGGGCGTGGCGTTAGACACAAGCCCTACTGGCCAATCGTTAAGGGCACTTGTCCCAAGCACCTGCGTGGCCTCTACGGGTATCTTCGTCTTTGTGCGTCTGTGTGTTTGGTGTCTGGGAGTCGGTGGACGCGATGGCGACATCCAATGCGGGTTCATATTCTTAGTTTTTTTCGGTGAAGTCACGTAGGTAAAAAATTTAAATTAATAAAAGTAAAATAAAAATAAAATAAAAATACAAATAAAAATCACGACGTTTCGGAGGCAACACAAGCTTCCGTCTTCAGGTGGAACCGTCACAGCCACGACAGCTGTATCAAGTAAATGAGAGATTACAAGAGATACCACTCCGTATATATATGGTTGAGGTGGGGGGGAAGGGCCAGGAACGGCCCACTTTTTAATTATTATGGTAAGGTGCGGCTTGAGACTACGGCTAGACTACATAACAAACTTTACCGAAAAAACCTAAGAATATGAATCCTTGCAGTCACGAAAGCTTCAAATCTTGAATCAGTGCGGGTTGTCGCTGCAGGCTACAGGCTCCCGCTGTTGGGGGTTCCTGAGTCTGGTATTCGTGGTTCGCTGTGCGTGGGACTGGTACCGCTCCTCTACCCCCCTCCTCCTCGTCATCATCATCATCTTCTTCCTCCTCCTCCTTATTGCCGCACAGGTGACGGATCGCGTCCTTCCTCGATCCTCTCAACCCATTCCCTAGCTGCCAGTGCTATTCAGTGGGCTAAAATAAAATGTTTCGCTCCGGATGATCGCTGCAAAGTATGACCTGTGTTTTGATTTAGTGTGCTGTTCTGTAAAGGTGCATTGAAAAATTATAATACTCCGATGGGAAAATGTCAAAACTGGGTGGTTTTTAACTTTTGCCGACAAAACTGGATCCCAAATGTCAAAACTGGGTGCACCCTGGGTGGCCAAAAACTTGAGTTTTGGACACTCAGGGTGCACCCAGTTTTGACATTTGTCAAATACACTTGATAATTGTATACTAGCACAGTGTGCCAGCACCCCATTCATCCAAACACTTGGTATTTGTATACTGGCACACTGTGCCAGTATACATATGGCAAGTAAGTGTTACTGTAGTAGCGAGCTGGCACACTGTGCCAGTATACAAACGGCAAGTAAGCGAGCTGGCACACTGTGCCAGTATACAAATGGCAAGTTAGGGTATGTTCGCGAGCTGTAAGTGTTACTGTAGTTGCAAGCTGGCACACTGTGCCAGTATACATATGGCAAGTAAGTGTTACTGTAGTAGCGAGCTGGCACACTGTGCCAGTATACAAACGGCAAGTAAGCGAGCTGGCACACTGTGCCAGTATACAAATGGCAAGTACGTGTATGTTCGCGAGCTGAAAGTGTTACTGTAGTTGCAAGCTGGCACACTGTGCCAGTATACATATGGCAAGTAAGTGTTACTGTAGTAGCGAGCTGGCACACTGTGCCAGTATGCAAACGGGAAGTTGTGGTGCAAGGTATGGAACATGAGCCACGAGAAACATCATTTGGAACGCTCTAAATCTGTGGCGACATATGGATGAATAACGCAAGGACCTAAACGTGTACAAAATGATACATTAAATCGTACACCTTCTTCACCCAGTTTTGACATTTGTCCACATTGAACATCACCCAGTTTTGTCATATCAAAAAGCACCACCCTGTTTTGCCTGTCGTTTTCCAAGACCACCCAGTTTTGACATTTGGGATCCAGTTTTGTCGGCAAAAGTTAAAAACCACCCAGTTTTGACATTTTCCCATACTCCGATTGATGCTCCTGCTGTTGTGGAGTGACTCATGCAGCCAGCTATGGCTGCAGGGTTTTGGTAGTACATGTTGTTTGTGCCATTTATTGTGAAAATTCCGTCACAGTTCCTATGATTGCGTTTTCATTGCTTTCATGGCTTTATTTTGGTGATTTCGAAAAGTGTATTGGTTTAGCCATGTTTATTTGTTGTAGTACAGAGTTAGACTGATGGCCTTAATCTAAGTTGTCTTGTGGTTGTTGTTGTTTGACTTGCATCCCACTGGGATTTTTGCACACAGCGTTGGTGTACGGTGTTTTTTCTGCAATATTTTGCTGTCTTTAATTGGATTTTCTGTTTGCACTTAGTCACATATTCACTTTAAGATGTTTTTTGTTCATGTTTTTGTTTTTTGTTTGTTGCGGTTGCACCCGATTCAAGAGCCGAATGGCTCACAGGGCTGTACCTAATAAATGAACTTGAACATGCGGGGACGTCACCCGCCGACGTTTCAAATCGACCCTCGCGCAGGATGGCAGCAGCAGCAGTAGCAGCAGCAGCGGCGATGTGGTTCACGAGTTCGGTGTCACCAATGTCGCTTCGGTCTGCTCCTGCTAGCCACGACGAGAGGGTTTCAGCAGAGAGAGAGAGTTCGTGTCGCTGTTTCCCCTTCTCATCCTTTGAAGGAGCACAATGGGTTTACTGTGCGGTCCATAGCGTGAGTTGCATGGCCACAATCACACTACCGTGGCTTGCCTTTAATGCGTCTCTCTATGTATATCATTCTACCTATCAGGAATCTCTATGTATCTGTATGTTTCTCAATGTATGTAAATGAGTCTCTGTGGGTTTACTATGCGGTCCGTGGCTTGTCTATACTTTTCCATTCCTGTTTCTCCAATTAATTCCTTCCGATGTGACCCGATCGTGAGTACGAAGCTCACGGCAGACGTTCGCATGGCGAGGATAATTATGGAAAAGTGAACTCCAAAATGTAATGTTATCTCGATATCTCAAGGACATTTTTGTTTTTACATCGACAAAATTTCTTCAAGGAAGGGGAAAAAATTGACAGAAACGCGATGTAATGTTATACAAATCGCTCGTCTCGGAGATGTTGTAGGTTCCAATCCTGTCAAGGGCGGAGGTTGACTCGGCTCATGATCCTCGCAATTACGGGAGGAGGGGTCGAGAATAAGGTACCTCTTTGTCGAAATGTAACCGTCCGTCCATCCATTCATCCGTCCATCTATCCATATATTCGTCCATTCATCCCTCCATCTATCTATACATTCATCTGTCCATGCGTCCATCCATTCGTCCATCCGTCTGTCTATTTATCCATTCATCTGTCCATGCGTCAATCCATTCATTTATCAATCCATCCATCCATTCATCCCTCTATCCATCTGTCCATTCATTTGTTCATTCATTTGTCCATTCATCCATCCATCCGTTTATCCGTCCATCCATCTGTGTCCACGCATCTGTGTCCAATCGGCGCGCCGCAGCCCCGCACCAACGCGACCCGAAGGATGCTCCAGGTGACGAGGCAGCGCCGTACGGTGGTGGCCATCGCGCTCAACGTACTGGCGCTGGGCTTCTCGAGCACGGCGTTCCTCTCCACCTACTGGTACCAGGGCATCCACAAGGTGGTGAAGCCCATCTGCAACCCCGAGCGCGGCCAGCACGTGAACTGCGTGCACATGAACGGCACCACGGTGGGCGGCGAGGAGATGCTCGTGGCCACCGCTGCCACCGGCGGTGGCATCAATGCGTCGCTCGGAGGCCCGGCGGGCGCCGTGAACTATAGGAGTGTGCACGTGGTCCACTACACGTGGGACACCGGCGACGACAAGTACGCCTACCGCTTCTTCCACACGGGCTTCTGGCTGTCGTGCGAGGAGAACATCTACAAAGAAGGTTCACCTACCTGCCTGCCTGCCTGTTTGCCTCCCCCCCCTCTCTCTCTCTCGCTGTCTCTCCCCCCACCACCCCCTCTACTCCGCGTGTGTGCTGGCACCTGTGGGGAACGGTAGTTCAGACGCTGTCTCCCCCACAGACCTGGTCTTCACCTGAGGACGGCTGCTTGCGTTGTGGCCGAATCGCCGTGAGAATTATTTTATTATGTTTTATTTTTATTATTTTATTACTTCCCTTCTACGTGACTTTACCGAAAGAATCAAGAAGAAGCGGTAGTGCTGTTACTGGTTCGATTTTTTTTTTGCACTTTTTGTACGCAGCATGGACGGGTGGTGCTTTTTTTGTAGGCTTTTATTGTTTACGCACGTGATGTTTAGATTTGTGTACAATGAATTTTAGGTGTATCTTGTAATTTTATTGTTTGTTGCGGTGGCCCCCAAATCAAGAGCCGAATGTCTCACAGGGTAAATCCTAATGAATGAAAGTGAAACTGAAACTCACGGCCAACACCAGCGACGATTATCTGAACCGGTCCTGTGCCTCCCCTTGGTCGACTCAGCCTCGAGGCTATATGGGGGATCTTCATCTTATGGGACACGGTGACACAGTAGGGAGTGGGGTAAACGGGCGTGGTAAAGGCTAGAGAAGAGATGACGCTGGCGAGGTGCGGGAGGACGTGGAGCTGAGTGGACTTGCTGGTGACCGGTACCAGCGGTGTCAAGATCGGCCTCTGTGGAGGAGGCTCGTGAAGGACGTTGCTACTGGGCAGTTGGAGGCAGTCGCCCTCCAACAACAACGGAGGGCGGACGAGCGACGCTCACAACAACGAGCGGAGCGCCGGGTGACTAAAACGCAGCAAGTCGGCACAGTCGGAAGCACAGCTGGTGCATTGCCAGTCATCTCAATGAGGCAACCAGTGGCACCTGGGTCTGTCTCGTGACCTCCACCTTCTAGCAGCGAGCCTCCGCACACTTCACGTGGCCTCAAAGTTCACCTGGCCTTCACGGACTTGTTGGGCAAGTGCTGTTAGCGAGGGGGGTGGGTGACCAGCAGCACGCCCGACCGCCTTTCTCTCCCTCGTGGCGATGTTTACACAACCACACCAGGGCGAGGCTGAGTCTACCTAGGGGAGGCCCTGGAGATGTTCAGACAATCGTCGCTGGTGGTGGCCGTGAGCGAGAATCGAACACGGCTGTCTGGGTTTTCGTAGCGCGTCGCGCTGACCACCACGCTGCCGCTCCCCCCACTCGCAGCGCCGCCGCTTGCGAATGACAAACACGCACGCCGCTTATAACGCGCGCGTCACGTTGTGAAGAGCGCCGCTTATAACGCGCGCGTCACGTTGTGAAGAGTGCCGCTTATAACGCGCGCGTCACGTTGTGAAGAGCGCCGCTTATAACGCGCGCGTCACGCTGTGAAGAGTGCCGCTTATAACGCGCGCGTCACGTTGTGAAGAGTGCCGCTTATAACGCGCGCGTCACGTTGCCCGCTAACGGTGTTGTAAGCGGTTGCCCGTGCCCACCCCTTGCGCGCTTTGAGTGACTGCCGCGATGTTTTCCACCCTGCCCCGTTCTGTGTTGCCCCGGGCAGGCGAGCAGTGTCGCAGCTTCGTGGATCTCATCCCCTCCGCCGAGCGCGGTAACCGACGCATTTTCTCTCTCTCGAGCACGAGGCCCGCACCTACAGTACATCACCTACCCCTCTTTGCCTGTCTCTCTGCCCGCGGAGAAGCACTCGTTCAGTCTGCAGGGCTCAATGCGACTTGGAGCTACCATGATAAAACAAAACAAAAACGAATCCATCACAGGTTTATTTCGGTTAGATCGCGTAAATACGAGGAACGACAGCGAGGACATCAGCTTCATCCGCTGAGACAGTTTAACGCGTGGCAGGCTTTCACGACCAATATTATTCGTGATAAAGGTTGTTGGGTAGATCGCGTGAGTTCAAATGCACTCTCCAGCACAGGAGCCTCGTCCCGTGAGCACATTAACAGCCCCTACACTTTACATCTCTGCCATTGGCTTCCCATTCAAATGTCGGGTACAATTTAAAGCGTTGCTGCTCCACACACGAGGCCACAAACGGCCTCGCACCAACATTGTCACATTCAACAACTGATATTCCTGCACGCACCGTCGCTACCTCACCGGTCCGCACATTTACATCTGGCCCACGTGCCCAGAACGCGACTCTGCACCTGGGGTGACCGAGCCCTGTTTGTTTCGGTCTTCTCTAAAGACTCGCGTGCTTCGCCTGCAGCGCTACATTTCCCACGTACGACCCAGTTTGACTCTGAACTTTGTCGTGTTTATATTTCCTAACTTGTTGCATGAATTGCGCCTTTATGAATGTACATTGTTATTCAAGGCTAATCCGGATTCATATTCTTAGGTTTTTTCGGTAAAGTCACGTAGGTAAAAAATTGAAATTAATGAAAGTACTTTAACAACCCTGGCACCGCCCCCCCCCCCCTCTCAGCCAGTCTACATAACAAAGGCTCAGTCCTTTGTTATGTAGACTAGCCGTGTCAAGCCGCACCTTACCATAATAATATAAAAAAGGGGGCCTGTCCTAGCCCATCCCCCCCCCCTCAACCAGTATATATACGGGGTAGTATCTCTTGGAAGCTCTCATTTACTTGATTACAGCAAGCGTGCTGTGACGGTTCCACCTGAAGACGGAAGCTTGTGTTGCCTCCGAAACGTCGTGATTTTTTTTATTTTTTTTTATTTTACTTTCATTAATTTTAATTTTAATTTTTTACCTACGTGACTTTACCGAAAAAACCTAAAAATATGAATCCTTGCAGTCACGAAAGCTTAAAATCTAGAGCTAATCCGGATGTTTCTTTCTTGCCTTCGCGCAGGCGTGCTGTGGCTGGCCATCACGTCCGAGGCCCTGTACATCTGCCTGCTGGCGATCGGCTTCATCCTGATGTGTCTCGAGCTATGTCAGCAGCGCAACATCGTTGGAGCGCTGCGGCTCAACGCGTTCGCGTCGGTGTTCACCGTGCTGGCCGGTGCGGGGCGTACACGCTCACCGCCGGGGAGATGACCGGGAGAGATGATCGGGAGAGATGATCGGGAAAGATGACAGGGAGAGATGATAGGGAGAGATGACAGGGAGAGATGACGGGGAGAGATGACAGGGAGAGATGATCGGGAGATATGACAGGGAGAGATGATCGGGAGAGATGATCGGGAGATATGACAGGGAGAGATGATCGGGAGATATGATAGGGAGAGATGACAGGGAGATATGATGGGGAGAGATGACAGGGAGAGATGACAGTGAGAGATGACAGGGAGAGATGACAGTGAGAGATGACAGGGAGAGATGATGGGGAGAGATGACAGGGAGAGATGACAGGGAGAGATGATGGAGAGAGATGATCGGGAGAGATGACGGGGAGAGATGATCGGGAGAGATGACGGGGAGAGATGACAGGGAGAGATGACAGGGAGAGATGACGGGGAGAGATGACAGGGAGAGATGATGGAGAGAGATGATCGGGAGAGATGACAGGGAGAGATGACAGGGAGAGATGACAGGGAGAGATGACAGGGAGAGATGATGGAGAGAGATGATCGGGAGAGATGACAGGGAGAGATGACAGGGAGAGATGACAGGGAGAGATGATGGAGAGAGATGATCGGGAGAGATGACAGGGAGAGATGACAGGGAGAGATGACAGGGAGAGATGATGGGGAGAGATGACAGGGAGAGATGACGGGGAGAGATGACAGGGAGAGATGACAGGGAGAGATGACAGGGAGAGATGATGGAGAGATGATCGGGAGAGATGATGGAGAGAGATGATCGGGAGAGATGACAGGGAGAAATGACAGGGAGAGATGACAGGGAGAGATGATCGGGAGAGATGACAGGGAGAGATGACAGGGAGAGATGATGGGGAGAGATGACAGGGAGAGATGACAGGGAGAGATGACGGGGAGAGATGACAGGGAGAGATGACGGGGAGAGATGACAGGGAGAGATGACAGGGAGAGATGACAGGGAGAGATGATGGAGAGAGATGATCGGGAGAGATGATGGAGAGAGATGATCGGGAGAGATGACAGGGAGAGATGACAGGGAGAGATGACAGGGAGAGATGATCGGGAGAGATGACAGGGAGAGATGAAAGGGAGAGATGACAGGGAGAGATGATCGGGAGAGATGACAGGGAGATTTCGTTCATTCATCGCGCGTAGTCAGCGACGGAGCCGTTGCACCAAACGTGTGGCCTCTTGCGATGACGGCGTTCGCCAGAAGATGTTTCGTTCCTGATATAGAAGCGTAGATGTGGGGACCACGCTTGTGCACTCTTCTTCAGCAAAGTGGCGGGGGGGGGCGGGATTAATGAGTCAACGTACATTATGCATTCGCATTATGCGGTGTATCAGATGTACATCCTTCACCCCTCCTTGTCCTCTGTTATCTAACTTTAGAAATTTAGCCTCATCGGATGTTAAGGAGGCCTTGAGGTCAGATGTCCGCAGCATAAATAATGCACGTTGCAATGCTCAATCATCAATAATTGAAGCAAGTCCCATCAATTTGTATCTTTAATTGGAGCCGAGCGAGACCCCGAGGTGAGGTGACGTGTGTTCGGGGCTGCAGAGTATTTTGATTAAAATAAATCTAAACAGCAGTCTAATTAAACATTGCTAATTCAAGCCACGGGGGTCATACATCTGCCATTCTCAGCCTATAAAGTCAGCGTCATAATAGGCACGGAATGAGCCAACGATTCGTTGACCAATCATTGATAATTACGCTCATAACGCACGCAACAGATAGTGCGAGCAAGGCTGCTGTCATGTTCGATGCGTACTGGATCGAGAATGTAGATTAGATCTGGTATCCCCTGCTTATTGGATGCTGGGTTTTCTCCGGGTGTATAATAATTATCGATACATCACATTTGCCAAACACCCGTTGAGTGAATCACCGCGTGGGTATTCACGGTTCTTGCTGCATCAGCAGTCCGGGGGTTCTAGATTTAAAGCTTTCGTGACTGCAAGGATTCATACTCTTAGTTCTTTCGGTAAAGTCACGTAGGTAAAAAATGAAATTAAAATTAATAAAAAAATAAAATAATAAAAATCACGACGTTTCGGAGGCAGCACAAGTCTCCGTCATCAGGTGGGACCGTCACAGCCAGATTTGCTGCATCAAGTGATGCAGCAAATCTGGCTGATGCAGCAAATCTGGCTGTGACGGTCCCACCTGATGATGGAGACTTGTGTTGCCTCCGAAACGTCGTGATTTTTATTATTTAATTTTTTCTTAATTTTTATTTCATTTTTTACCCTACGTGACTTTACCGAAAGAACTAAGAGTATGAGTCCGGGAGTTGTGCATCGATTCGCTTCGTGTCCATCAGAGCGACGTAGATGAGTGACTATGAACTAAAACAAACAATTTTTTTTATTTCACCAAGTAAGGCTCGCTGAGCTATTAGCTTCTCTGTCAGAACCGACCTGGCCACAACACGACAGCTCAACGTAGTGGTTTATCGTCATCGCGTGGAAATCCATAGCAGCCAAATACTCTGAACGACTTATTGCGACTACCTATTGTGGAGTGGTGGTGCGGGGGGGAAGAGTACAACTCCCCGGTGCTTAAATCATCATCAACATCATCAGCAGCAGTGCACGGCGCCTCGAGCAGACGACGCAGAGGAGCGAGAAGGCATCGTCCGCTCTTCACCGTAGACGCATCTCGCGGCGTCCAGGGCCTGGTGGTTCAGATGCTGCCCCATCCCCACCACCCCCACCACCTCCACCACCCCACCTCCACCACCCCCGCCACCTCCACCATCCCCACCACCCCCACAATTCCCACCACCTCCACCACCCCCACCATCCTCACCAATCCCACCACCCCCACCACCCCCACCATCCCCACCACCCCACCACCTCCACCACCCCCACCATCCTCACCAATCCCACCACCCCCACCACCCCCACCATCCCCACCACCCCACCACCTCCACCACCCTCACCATCCCCACCACTCCCACCACCCCCACCACCTCCACCACCCCCATCACCTCCACCACCTCCACCACCCCCACAATCCCCACCACCCCCACCATCCCCACCACCCACACCACCTCCACCATCCCCACCACCCTCACTATCCCCACCACGCCACCACCCCCACCACCTCCACTACCCCCCCTCACCACCCCCACCACCTCCACCACCCTCATCACCTCCACCACCTCCACCACCCCTACCACCCCCCCCCCACTCGCTGCTGAGGTTTCGGCTCTGCAGCGTCCCACACCCGGTTCGGGACATCGGCACACAGGGAGATGGAGAGAGACGGAGAGAGAGGTTGAGGACCTTTCCTGGGCGGGCAATTGGCGTTGTGAGACGTTGATGATTCGAATGGTTTTATGTAGTAAGCATGAGCATTTAATTACTTATTTATTCGCTTTTTTGGGAGAAGGGGGGGGCATTTATGAAAGTTTCGCCGTTTTAAAAACACAATGCCATTGCTGAGCTCCTCGTCAACGGCGAGCCCGGCCGCTCTCGCGTTGCGCGCTCGGTTGCTGGTTATTTATGTTCTTGTAGTTACACATTTATTTACTTATTTTGGTTAACATGAAGAAGAAGAAACAACAACCCTGATCTTCATAAGCCGGTCGTTTCTTACCCTTCACTGCAGCCTTGCACCCGTTAGCTTCTCAATCGCTAAAGAATGTCTCAGAATGTTAATAGCTACACAGGGTTCGATGGAACAAAGTAAGTTGTAACTCACGTGCCCCGTGAATAATTTGCGCTTTCGATGATTTACCTTCTAAAAAAACACACAATCCGGCCACGTCTCGCACCCCCTTGCGTTGCGTGCACCCCAGGTTCAGAAGAGCCACCGGGGATTTAAACTGATGTCACGACATAAACCACTCCCGCCGCAGCGGGCAGGTGGACTGCGCGTGATGAATCGTCGACGGCGTGGCATCCGTGTCACGCGCGCGCGCGAGAGAGAGATAATAGAGAGATAAGAGAGAGATAAGAGAGAGATAAGAGAGGGATAGGGAAGAGAGAGGGGGGTTGGGCAGTCGTTCGGAACGCGCCCGTGCCCCGAGTCTCGCGTCGTCGCCTTTGATTTGCGCGGAAACGATGGTCGGCCCGGGTCACTTCGGTCCGCTCGAAATCGCGATTTCACTCACGGCCAATTTACAGCGGCGCCACAGGCGGAGTTTCACATCTCTGTTTGGAGAGGGGTGGGAGGCATGGGTTCGCTTTGTCCCTCACATTAGAAATCGCGGGTGCATATAATTTTTTTAATTTTAATTGTAAACTACTGAAAATCAGCGTAGACCGGGCAGTGTCAGTTTATTCATAATATGGGACCTTTTTTGCCACTATCAAAATATAAGAATATGTTTTTACCCTTTCTGGCAATGACACAGCAGGTGTTAAGATGGTAAAACACCAAACAGACACCTTTTGCAAGGAATCCTGTCTGCATTAACCACACGTCCTTGTGGTGAACATGCACAGAGCTATGAATGCCCTGATAGTGGCATTGCCTTTGTGCTGTTCGCCTTTTGGCGTCCTCTGGTCTAACACCGTTTGAGACGAGGCTCGAAAGAAAGCTGTCTCTGGTGTGGACCAATCAGCTTCAAAGACAATGCATCATATTATCTGAGAATGTTTTGTTTGCATGTTCACCACAAGGACCTGTGGTTAATGCAGACAGGATTCCTTGCAAAAGGTTTCTGTTTGGTGTTTTAACATCTTAACACGTGCTGTTGTATTGCCAGAAAGGGCGAAACCTATTCTTATATTCAGCCTATTCATGTCTACAGACCCTTTTAGGTTCAGATGTCTTCTGTTGACTAGAGACCTCCATCAGAGAGCCGTCTCTCTATACATTATGAAAGACACCATCACAGACAAATCTGTCTATCCATCACCTCGAGACCTATCAATCCGTCCGTGTATACGAGGGGAGAGGGGGGGGGGGGCTTCATAGGTCCATGGCCAAACAGCACTTGCCCCAACAGCCTGTGTGGGCTATACGGGGGGTCTCTGTCTGCTGTGTGCCTGACGCAGGTCTGCTGGGCATGGTGGCCCACATGATGTACACCACCGTGTTCCAGGTGACGGCGCACCTCGGGCCTGAGGACTGGAGGCCCCAGAGCTGGGACTACGGCTGGTCCTTCTGGTGTGTCGCAATTCTCCGATGGCCTCGCGGAAACGATCGCTTGCATTCTAGATTTGAAGCTTTCGGGACTGCAAGGATTCATACTCTTTGTTTTTTTTCGGTAAAGTCACGAAGGTTAAAAGAAAATAAATACATTTAATCACGACGTTTCGGAGGCAACACAAGCTTCCGTCTTCAGGTGAAACCGTCACAGAAAAATTGCTGTACCAAGTAATACAGCACCTGAAGACGGAAGCTTGTGTTGCCTCCGAAACGTCGTGATTAAATGTATTTGTTTTCGATTTAAAGCTTTCGTGACTGCAGGGATTCATCTTATTGGTTCTTTTGGTAAAGTCACGTAAAAGGAAAAGAATAAAAGAATAAAAATAATAAAATAATTCTCACGACGTTTCGGCCACAACGCAAGCAGCCGTGCGTTGTGGCCGAAACGTCGTGAGAATTGTATTTTTTTTCCCTTCTACGTGACTTTACCGAAAGAACCAAGAAGATGTATTTGTTTTCTTTTAACCTACGTGACTTTACCGAAAAAAACAAAGAGTATGGATCGCTTGCATCTCCATTGGCGACGCGAGACATCTCCCCCTTTTAATTGTATCGCGTGCGCACGTGTGTGTGAGAGATGCCACGTGTGAGAAAAACAATTGGTGCGTGTGTGTGTGTGGTGCCCTGCCTGTTCAGGTGCACCTAGCCTGCACAAGCGCCGTGGTGATGTCATCATTGTTGGGTTTGTCGTTGTCCAGTCCCTAGGTTATGTGCATTCCCACAGAGGTGTGGGAAGCTCTTCTGTAATAAATAAAATAAAACAATTTCTATTCCAAGGCACTGCTTCAATAAAAAACCAGTGCCTTGGAATATATAAATGAATATATAAAAACACTGTGCCTAGCCACGGCCAGAGCCGTCCCTCGGGTACAGCAAATTTGGGCGACTGCCCCGGGCCCCGCGCTTTGGGGGGACCCGCGCTTCGACGGTATCAGATGTAATACTTGAAGGCGTCGGGTGGGGGGGGGGGCACAGAGTGGAATTTGCCCCGGACCATTCTTCCCCCACCCCCCGCTCTCCCGATGGACGGGCCTGGCCATAGACAAAGCTGCCAGAACATCTTCAAAGGAAACCACCCGTTGCTGCTTCTGCTCGTTGCTAATCGCCGCACGAAACGAATCGTTCCCAATTCCCTGTCCGTCCGTCTGTCCCTCTCTCGAAACACCCCTCCACTCACCCGCCCGCCCGCCCGACCTCCACCCCGACCCCCGGCAAATCGGGCAGCCTGGCCTGGATCTCGTTCACCTGCTGCATGGCGTCCTCGGTGACGACGCTCAACACGTACACCAAGACTGTCCTCGAGTTCCGCCACCGCCGCAAGGTCTTCCAGCAGAACCTGCGAGAGAGAGACGTCTTCATGGACCCCGAGGTCCTGCTCGGCCTGTGGCCCGGCACGGCCAAACGCTGCAACCCAGGTAAGGGGGCAGCCTGAGTCGGGACGAGCGACTTCAAGGGTCGCACTCGTTACGTACACGAGGTGCCTGCCGCAAATGAACCACGACGCCTTCGCTGATATCGCCGCTGAGCGTAAACCATCACGCGCCGAACAAATACTGTGGTCACTGCATCGCGCTCTTTCGGATGCGCTTCTGCGGCCGTCTGGAACGCTCCTCCTTCCGATAATATGAAGCCACTGGAGCTACGCACTTTTAAAACTAGATTGAAAACTAATTTCTTTATAACTGACTTTTGTGTTTCGTTTGTTATCCTTCCCCGCACCTCCGATTAGCATGGTTGGCTACATACGGTGCAAAATAAATTCTACAGACATACAAGTACATCTATAAACGCGCAACTCTTAGAACATAACTTATCACGTGTGCGCAGTATTCATACATTGTAAGCTCTATTAAACAGTCCTATACTCGTTGGTTCTTTCGGTAAAGTCATGTAGGTATAAAATAAAATAAATCACCTTTCGGGCGCAACACAAGCGCCCGAAACGTTGTCATTTATTTTATACCCACGTGACTTTACCGAAAGAACCAAAGAGTATGGATTCCTGCAGTCACGAAAGCTTCAAATCTAGATTAAACAGTCTATCTTGTATTTTATACTGAGCTGGTGAAATGTCTGTCATGTAAAGAGTCTCGAATATCGTGCAGCAGCAGTGGGTAGGTGAGTTCGAGGCTGATGGACCGCTGGAACGCGAAGCTGCGAGGTCCAAATCTCGCTATCCGAGTGCGCGGAATGATCAGGTGTTCACCATGAGCTGCCCAACATTGACAATGTACCGGCAAGAAGAAGAACATTGACAATGTACCGGCAATCACCACGAGTCCATCAGATGACGTGGAGAGCCGCCCCGCGACAGCTACGGGTTAAACATGCCAACGTCGGGCTAACGTGGCATGCGCTTGGTACCGTCAGACCAACGTTAGCCCGACGTTGGCATGTTTACCGGGTAGGTGCGTGCCCCCGTAGTTGTTTGTGGGATGACACCATGGTGTGGCGGCTAGCGCACTGGACTTGCAATGCAGACAGAGGCCACCGGTTCCATTCGATCTCTCGCCAAGCCCCGCTGCTGCCGTGTGGTGGGGTAAAGTGTGGGTAACTCCCACCTCTTGCAAGACTTCTAACCACATTGTCCTGTAGAGGGGAGCTCTCTAGAGCTCTCTCCGGTAAGGCCCTTCTGCCAGCAGCGGCGTGAGAAAACAATTGCAGCGCTTGCCCCTTTATCGCTTATTGCTCAAGTCACCAGGTTCACAGCGCTGTGTGATAACTACAGCACTCCCCCTTTACAGTACAGTACTTCCAATTCATTGTAACAACAATAATAATACCATTGGAACCTCATTTGCCAGTAAAAAAATATGATAATTGGTTTTTTTACCCTTCTATCTGGTAACAAAACTGACACCTTTTTTTACAAGGAGTCATGTTTGCATAGACCACAATACCTGCAGCCAGTTTTGTTGCCAGATAGAAGGGTAAAAAACCAATTATCAACAATACTAATGATCACCATCATCATCATCATTAATTATCGAATCCCCAGATGAAGGAGACTTGGAGCTGGGCATCAGATCTGCGGCGGCCGCCCTCACCGAACACTGCGGGGACTCCCACACCTCGCGGCACCCCGACCACGGGCCGCCCAACCTGTGGCCCGGCAGCGTCACGGCGCTCCGAGGGGCGGCCGAGGCCGTCATCCTGGCCCACGGACTGCAGCCCTCTGACGGTGGCGCTGGCAGCGGCGGTACAAGCCGCGTGCATCACGGCCCCGGCGTGGCTACGAACCGGAGGAACGCTCCACGGGAGCCGTTCCCGAGCTGCGGCCGGCACGCACTCAGGGAGGCGGCCGAGGCGCTGGCCCACGGCTCGATGGAGAGCGAGCGGGGCCCGCACGGCGTGTTCGTGAACCCCCAACGCCAAGCCTCGGTCGAGGACAACGTCTACTGAGCGTGGCGCGACGGACCGACGGTCGAATGTGTGGGGAGTGGGGGCGGTGGGGGGGTGGCGATGTGCGAGCGAGGCTTCGTTCTGAGATCAGCCTCTGGGTTTTTTGTTTTTAATATTTTCAATTTATTATTTTTAAATTTTTAAAAATTTCATTTTATTTTCTATCTACGTGACTTTACCGAAAGAACCAAGAATATCAGCTTCTGTGCCAAGCGCGGCGCTTGCCGTAACGGCGTGCTGGGGAGAATTGTCGTAACGTGTTTCATTTTCTTTCTCCGGTGAGGGGTTTTTTCTTTTTCTGTCCCCAAAAGGTCATTCCCGGTTTGTGCGCCCGGCGTGCCACGGCGGTGTCGCGTCGTCAGGCGAGGGATCCGTTAAGGAACTTTCTCGAAGCGGTGCGAACATTTCTGTTCGAGAACGGCCCGGGCAGGGAAGGAGTATTTTTGTAAAGTTTATTTTCATGGAGCTTGTTAAGAATTTCCCTTGGCCACCATGCCCAGCAGACGGTGAAACAGATTATTTGATTTTGCCAGTTCAAGCTTTCGCCACGCACGACTGCGGTGAAAGTTCAACACGTGGCCCAATCCAGAACGGCAGTCGAACCCTTCAAATGATAATAATTCTATATACTTTCCTGAAAACCCATTATTTAATCTCAAGACTCATTTTCATAATGGTGCTGACAGTTTATCGATTTCATTTTACAGTATTATGCTATTCCTTTATTTGTGTTGCTTTAAATAAATAAAAATAACAACCCCATCTCTTTTTCACAATGTATACGATACTTTGTACAATATTGTGTGCATGCGTGTGCGTGTGTGTGGTCGTGACTTTTAAAAAGCAATGGTAAGAATGGGCTCTCAGAAAGTTGCAATGATTTTACGTCCACGAAATGAAGCGAAACAAGTATTTAAGTGGGGCGTGAATGCTGACATTTGCAGTGGTAACACATCGCCTGGAATTTGCGAGGGAGAAGTCTGGGTTAACGAGTGTTCCCCGAGTTTCCAATTTACTTTCGATCCAACTGTTAATTAATTTCGTTAGAAACAATAAATATTTGCTTAGTTAATGGCGAGACGACCACTGGGGAGGGAGGGAGGGAAATAATCCCAAAGAACTGAGGCAGAGAGGTTCATCAAACTGAGAGCATCCCAAGAAAGTGGATGGAAATTCCATGACACTGAGGCACAGAAACATTTCAACTGTGATGCAGGCACGGGCTGCTCCACTTTTGGGGTGGAGGGGAGTTACCAAATGAGTTGGCAGAACGGTTACAACCACGGGCCAACGTTGACCCAACGTTGACCCAACGTTGGCAAATTAACTGGGAAGGAAGCGATGGCGACAAGGCGAGACAGCGTGTGGTCCGAACATTCTTTAAATACAAAACGTTTCAGACTCGATCACAAAGATAAATATTACTTCCTCATTATGTGAAGGTTACTCGTCGTCAGCCTTGATCTATCCACTGCTGGACAAAGCGCTCCCCATCCCGTCGCCGTTGTTCACAAGCTACGCGATGCAACGCTCAATGTTACGCCGTACTGAGTACTTATTAATGCCAACCACGTTGGCTATCATTGAGAAGGTTGATAAACACTCACGTCAACTGGAAGGTAAGATTCGAGTTGAGCCTGGATCGTGCTTGCATATCTTCATTCCCCTCTCAGCTACGCTGCCACGCTCTCGATTGCAAACTCATTCCTTTGGAACTGCTGCTTCTTCTTGTTCGCTTTGTTGTCCTTCCACAGCACCTGCGATTAGCCACGGTTGGCCGCGTACGGTGCGAAAGAAGTTCGACGTACGGACGGACACACGCGTCTGTGCGCCCTGCCTTCAACACCCTCCCCCCCCCCCCACTGACGAGCGTGTTGACGAGAGGCACTCATCCAGCAGTGGATTGACCAAGGGGGATGTTGTGGGTTTATTTCCAGTGACAAATCCTCGCCATAATGATGACGATGATGAGACTACTGCGCACGGCGCGGACACAATTGTGTCTCTGGGCTTACAAGGTCCGGGCAATGAACAACCCGGTGTGTTTTTTACAACGACAACAAATATTGTCGTGTAATGTATTTTTTTTATTGTTCGGTGTCGTTTTATGATTTGGAGGTTACACAAAAGACAAAAATCCCCCCAGTATAGCCTTAACAGACTGTTGGGGCAAGTGCCGTTAGCGAGCACCTATAAAGGCCGGCACAGCACACGAGGGGGTGGGTGGCCAGCACCACGCCCGGCCGCCTTTGTCTCCCCAGTGGCGATGTTTACACATCGCACCAGGTACTCATTTGAGGCTGAGTCGACCTAGGGGAGGCCCAGGACCGGTTCAGATAATCGTCACTGGTGTTGGCTGTGAGCGGGAATCGAATTCAGGTCGCCGGGTTCGTAGTGCTAACCACTGCACTACCGCTCCCCAGGTACACACACGCACAGAGTGACTTCAATTTGCTGTGGCATTTTACGATCGTTCAAGCTCGTTCTATTCGTGAGCCGAAAGAGCGAACACGCACGAGAGAGGACCTCTCGCGTGGAGATGGAACGATGACATCAGCTCGAGCCAGATGGATTGTGGCATCGTACGACTGTGTAGACTCATGGTGATATCTTGGAGAAGGCGTTAATTGAATGGTAGATTGCAGAGGTGGGACAAAGTCATTGTTATGCAAGTCCAAGTCGAGTCTCAAGTCATCAAATTCATGACTCGAGTCTGACTCGAGTCCAAGTCACATGACTCGAGTCCACACCTCAGAGGTGGGACAAAGTCATTGTTATGCAAGTCCAAGTCGAGTCTCAAGTCATCAAATTCATGACTCGAGTCTGACTCGAGTCCAAGTCACATGACTCGAGTCCACACCTCTGGTAGATTGATAATGGCTGTGCGGATTTCATTTTACAGGACCGGATTTTCTTTTGACGATATCGACCTTGGGGGTCCCAGCCAAGTTGACACTTTTGTTAACAACATTCGCGCAATATCCACGTTCGCGACAAAAAAAACAGATATTCCATCTTGATTTGATCTTGATTTGAAGCTTTCGTGACTGCAGAAATCCATACTCTTTGGTTCTTTCGGTAAAGTCATGTGGGTAGAAAAATAATAGATCACGACGTTTCGATCACAACACAAGCAATCGTCATCAGGTGAGACCACTACAGCAAGAATGTATTCCATATTAACCTCTGTAGGGTGTAATTACATGTGCTGTCAGCTAGCACCTATTAAGGCCAGAACGGCACAAAAACTATAAACAATTTTTGTATTCATCTTCTTGGTTCTTACGGTAAAGTCACGTAGAAGGGAAATAATAAAATAATAAAAATAAAACATAATAAAATACAATTCTCACGACGTTTCGGCCACAACGCAAGCAGCCGTCCTCAGGTGAAGAACAGGTCTGTCGGAAAGACAGCGTCTGAATGAACACCGCCAAGCTTGGCAGCGTATATCTACGTGACTTTACCGAAAGAACCAAGAAGATGAATCCCTGCAGTCACGAAAGCTTTAAATCGAAATTTTTGTGTTTTACCAGGTAAGGCCCACTGAGCTATTCAGCTCTTGTTCAGAAGCGACCCGGCTATCACAAACGATAGCTCGACGAAATGGCTTGTCCTCACGTGGAAATGTATAGCAGCAAAATACTCTTAAACGCATGTTTCTAAATGCGTGCGGAAAGACCGGAGGACCCGGAGAAAAATCGACACGACGACAAGCAGAACATGCAAATTCCGAATATCTGGGCGTCAGGGTCTGGATCGCACCCACGACTTCATGTATGATATTTGGTTTTTTACCCTTTAATTTGGCAACAAAACTGACACATTTTTTTACAAGGAGTCATGTTTGCATAGACCACCATACCTGCAGTCTGAATGCAAACAAAAAACATAACTCTGGTAATGTACACACTGTCCTTGAAGTTGATTGGTCCACACCCGAGACAGCTTTCCTTAGAGCCTAGTCTCACATGGTGTTGGACCAGATGAGGTTCCAATGGTGACTTCATGTATACCAGGCGAGGTAGCTAACATCTCGTCACCGTGGCGAGATGCTAACAGGGTGATGTGGCCCAACGCTTTAGCCAGCACCTCAGCAAACCACGTTTGCCTCCCCAGTGCTGTGTTGCCAAACCACTGTTGCAATGCTCTATGCACACACAAATGTAAATTGTGTGCATTTCCAAATTATACCTTTATAAACAAAATTCGTACTGAATTCATGTTCATTGTGCGTGTGTGTGCCTTTGTACAACATGGGCTTAGAAGTGCCATGCTTGGATTGATTGCTGTGTTTGTGAGATACACCCACGTGTTATTCATCAGAGCGCAGGGCGAGCCGAATTGCATCTATGCATATAAAGTGGTTCCCTTTAATGACAGCTATATGATTATTATTTTTATTCTTTGTACCATAATTGTACGTACCGCGGTGACCTGATTTTGATTCCCGGTCGCGGCTAACATCAGTAGTGAGTGATAACGTGGGCTCATCCCACACTCATCAACGTATTATTCACAATAAAACAGGGGGAGCTGAATTGCATATGTGTATATATCGTGGTTCCCTTAAATGAGAACTACAATAAATATTTTTCGATGTAAAGCTTTCGTGACTGCAGGGATTCATCTTCTTGGTTCTTTCGGTAAAGTCACGTAGAATGGAAATAATAAAATAATAAAAATTAAACATAATAAAATTAACGCAAGCAGCCGTCCTCAGGTGGAGAACAGGTCTGTCGAAAAGACAGACTCTGTCTTCCCACACTCTGTGTTCTCCACCTGAGGACGGCTGCTTGCGTTGTGGCCGAAACGTCGTGAGAATTATTTTATTATGTTTTATTTTTATTATTTTACAATAAAATAATTACAATTATTATTCGTACCATAATTGTATGAACCCTGGTGACCTGAATTTGACTAAAGCCACGGCTCACGTCACCAGTGAAGTGACATGTGGACTCAACCCACACTTACTAGCATGGTGAGGTATGGTCAAAT